TGATTCTTAGGTACGGAAAAATGCTCTCAAAAATGTTTCTGAATTCTTAAAGTAATGTGTACACGTATATTATTTACCCACGGTAATTCTTTAAACATCATCATTAGAAATAGTCATATTGTACAGGGACAATATGTAAATCTATTATGATTTTTCAGAACACTTACTATGCATTTAATTTCTAATGAAATTTGATCAACAAATACATTTTAGGATGAAAAACTACAGGTATATACTATAGTTTCCAAGCATTTGAGGAAATGCCATGATTGCTATCTTATAGGGCACTTCAATTCAGATACCGGTTTTTACTTCGATTATTTTCATTGCATAATGTACAAAGGTTTTCTTATCATTGTAAAACACCATAAATCTTTTAAAATTTGCTGATAAACAATGTTATCTAAAGCAAAACAACAGGAAAATCAATTTCTTTTCAAAGGTTTTTACAGGGTACTAATATTAACTCCTTATAAAACCATTTCTAGGAATTCAGACTTTTCCGAATCACATTGAAATCACATTGAAATAATAAATACATGAAATGAAAATTGTTGCTTGAAAAGATCAAGCTTTACTTCTAGACTTTTTAAAAATAGTAAATTAAAGAGTTATCCTTCCTGGCTGAGGAGCGGATATCCTTAATTCATAGTCGCAATTCACAATAAATATTAACTTTTTAAACAAATATTTTGATCAGTTGGAAAATTTCATTTCTTTTTGAAAATATTATTTCGGACTAAGTGTATCGTAAATTGTATGTATACGATTCATTTTGTTAACCTTTATAGCGAATGTACTTTCTATATAAACTGAAATGCGTTACAATCAAAATCTAGTAAAACTGATTTTTTTTTTTCCATTAGGAATTAAGGACCTGAGACCATCTTTTAAAAATTGTTTCGTTGCCTCTCCCTTCCGACTGTCTAAAAATGGCTCGACTCAAAACTTTTTTTAAACATTCTAGGACAATTTTTTTTTCTTTTTAGCTCACCTGAGCCAAAGGCTCAAGTGAGCTTTTCTGATCAAAAATTTGTCCGTTGTCTGTCGTCGTTGTTGTAAACTTTTCACATTTTCATCTTCTCAAGAACCACTGGACCAATTTCAACCAAACTTGCTACAAAGTATCCTTGGGTGAAGGGGATTCAAGTTTTTCAAATGAAGGGCCAGGCCCTCTTCCAAAGGGAGATAATTATGAATTAGTGAAAAATTAAAGACATTTTTAAAATATCTTCTTCTCAAGAACCACTGGGCCAGGAAAGATGAAATTCATGTGGAATCATCCTCAGATAGTGTACATTCAAGTTTGTTCAAATCACGGCCCCCGGAGGGTGGGGCCACAATGGCCAATCAAAGTTTTACATAGGAATATGTGGGGAAATCTTTAAAAATTTTCTTCTCAAGTACTGCAAAGCCATGATTAGTGATATTTTTATGGAAGCATCCTCAGATACTGTAGATTCTAGTTTGTTCAAATCATTACCCCCAGGGATAGGGTGTGGCCACGATGGGGGATCCAAGTTATATATTAAAATATATTTAAAATTTAAAAAATCTTTTTCTAAAGAATAGCAAAGCCATGCTTAGTGATATTTATATGGAAGCACCCTCAGGTAGTGTAGAATTAAATTTGTTCAAATCATAACCTCCAAGGGTAGGGAAGGGTCTCAATGGTGGATCAAAGTTTTACATAGGAAAATAAAGGGAAAAATCTCAATAACAGAAAAGCTATGTTAAGTCATATTGACATGTAAGCATCCTCATGTATTGAAGATTTTAATTTGTTCAAATCATGAGTACCCTTTGGGGTAGGGAGCGAAATGATGGGGAGTCAAATTCAAATTATCACAAAGTAATATATACAAACAAAATGTTTTAAAAAATCTATATAAAAATATTTTTTTCTGACAAGAACTTTCTCAAGAAGTTATATGCAGAATTGGATGCATTCTCAAGTAGTATAAGAATTCAAACCTTCTCCCCCCCCCCCCTATCCATTCATTAAACTTTTCAATTCTGATCTGATTTGTGTGTTTTCCTAGCCGATGTGCTCAGGTGAGCGATGTGGCCCCTGGGCCTCTTGTTTATTCCTCTTATCCAGTCAACAAATACTTAATATGTTGACATTTTCTGAAAAAGATATTTCCCCGCCTACTCACTGACTCAATAATTTTACCTGAGTTAGGAGAGGGCAAACAAACAGTATTATTTTCAAAGATGGACGGGACGTATCTCTATCTCTTATGAGGGTTTTTAGGAGTTAATATTTGTTGTCTTTGTACAGTATATGTTTTCCAACATGAACTCTCATGATCTAGTCAGTGCAATGATTACTGTACTGACGCTGTGCAAAGGGAACTCATTTGTATTCAACCAGAGTTCTCTTATGTATATTTCATATGTTCAGTTCAGGCAGGGATTTGAGAGGGTAGGAGAAATTCGAGATTTCTAGAGGGCAGTGGTGGGATAATTTATATTAGGTTATAAATCGAAATCTGCTGTCTGCCACATGCATGCAAACTTTTGTAAACATAACCTATGCACCAAATGTGCTTCATCAAAATTGGCCGTAATCATATAAATTTTTACATGTAGCTTTTTACTTCAATCTCGAGAGTTGTTATGAAGGCAAGGGGACATTAAATCTCATTCGTCTGTCATAGTCTGGTCCGATTTACAGAAAAAAATACTTCTAACGGCAAATAATTATTATTTGGTCCAGCATAGTTTTGCAAAACGAATCAGAATTAAGCAGTTTGAGTATTTTCGCTCATTATTTCTCCATTTTGAACGACATTAAGAGAAAATTAGAGAAATTGGATATCCGCCATTTTGAATCGCCATTTTGACCTCCTTAACGCCATTTTCATGAAGGCCAGCATATTTTTTTCGGATTCAGCATACTCGAATTAGTTTTAAAAAACTATGCTGGACCAAATAATAATTATTTGCCGTCAGAAGTTATTTCTAGCCTTCTTTTTAAAAATCAGGACCAGACTATCAGTCTATCTGTCTGTCACAGCAACATTTTAACCTTGGTAATATTTTAACTGTCACTGCTTAATTATTTGCATGAATATTAGATACTTTGAGGGTTACATGCAGGATCAAGACGGATCCAATTGTTCTATGCCCCTGGATCGAAAGATCACTGGGGTATAATGTTTTTTGTCCTGTCTGTCTGTTTTCAACTTTAACCTAGCCCATAACTATAGTATTAAGTGGGTGGGGCTATGGCTTTCATATTTCACAGGTGTATTCCTTGTGAAAAGACATTTCTTTGGAAACCACTAAATTTGACTGATTGGAAAAGAGCTTTCATTTCTAAATGAAATAAATTTCCGACTAATAAATAGTATTTTCACAGTTTTGTTTATCTTGATTGGGAATTTATTTTCCATATAAATTGAAATGCATTAACAGATAATACGTTTAAAAAAATGATTTTTTTTCCATTAAGACTAATATACTTTATCTCTTATGAAGGTTTTTATAGAATTTAATTTTTGTAGTCTAGGAACTGTATTTGTTATGAAACATTAACTCCTGTGAACTAGTCACTGAGCCGTTGCCTCAACCTTAGATTTATTCCAATGGTCGTTGTACAGATGTTGTTCAAAGAGAGCTCACCCACGTACATCCAGAGTTATCTTATCTAAAAGTTAAACTTAGTATATATTTTTATGCGCCCGAATCGATAGATCCGAGGCGTATATTGTTTTTGTCCTGTCTGTTTGTCTGTTTGTCTGTTTGTCTGTTTGTCTGTCTGCTGAAAACTTTAACCTTCGCCATAACTTTTGAACCTTGAGATATAGAGACTTCATATTTGGTATGCATACTTCACTAATAAAGTTCTTTCAAAAGACACCAAGGTCAATGACCTTGTGACCTTGATTATGACCTACATGCTAAAAATAGCTTTTTTCAAACTTTTGAAGCATAGGAGATATAGACTTCATATTTGGTATGCGTACTTCACTTACAAAGCTCATACAAATGACACCAAAGTCATTAGCCTTGTGACCTTGACTGTGACCTTAATACTAAAAATAGCTATTTTCGAACTTTTGCCTTAAATTTTGAACCATATGAGATATAGACTTCATATTTGGTATACATATTCCACTACAAAAATTCTTTCAAATAACATTAATATCAATGACCTTGTGACCTTGACTGTGACCTATATGCTAAAAATAGTTTTTTGTAACTTTGTTGCCGCCGGGCGCATAGTGTTTCACAAACATATCATGTTTAAAGAAAATTATAGTCTCTTAAAATATAATAATAATAAATTTTTAATATGCTATTTCACCGTCATGTTGAACTAAATACATGTACCTTAAAAAAATTGAAGGTTACCATTAAATGAGACTTAACAAACTGAAAGAAGAAAAGGGAAGAAAGAGAACACAGATACTCAGTGTGGAGAGGACCCCCCCCCCCCCGAGACACACACTATACAATATAATGTTTTGGGGTGTAAATTTATTTGTAGAACGATTATTTTGGGGGTTTTCCCTTTGGTACACATGATGAACAAGTGTAATTATAATGTTTTGGGGTATTTATTTGTGGAACGATTATTCTGGGGGTTTTACTATTTTTTCACTCGGTACACATGATGAATAAGTGTAATAAATATTATTTGTGGAAAAAATGTACAAGTCACGGGGTTGAATATCGGAAGAGGGGGGGGGGGTTAGGGTTGGGGTTAGGTCCTGTGGAAGAGAAGGGGCAAAAGTGGAATGGGGAAGGAGAAGCATCCCAGTTTACAGATCTATATTGAAAGCGTGTCTCCATATAAAAAACGTAACTCTATAAGCAAATTTTACATTATCATGCAAATAATATTTTTTCCAATAAAGGATATCTTTCCGTCATGTGACGTCCCTATTTATAGAGTTAAAGGATTCAACTTGAACACCGTAATGTTTCTTTATCAGATACTGAGTACATTATATTAGAGAAAAGATCTATCCATTTTAGTTGGGACTTACCTATTGTGTGAGCTTTGGCTTGATTGCGCTGGTGTACGAGGTCGCCTCTTCCTCCGCCGCCGTTTATGATGTGAGCTTGTTGCATTAACAGATAACACCAGAAAATTAAACAAAACACGATCTATTTACTATAATAACTAAAATTTCGCGCATTTTTCTTTTCCTTTTATCTAAACATGTTTCTCTGATCAAAATCGAAAAAAATATTGATAGTGGATAAGTTGTCATTATGTTTGCGTTTCATTAATCTTCTTAACAATCATCAGTCAAGCTTTAGCATTAATAATCGCATCAGAGATTTACTCCGTAATGATATTTTGAGATGAAGCTAATATACTAAAGTTCACAACAGGTAAGTATTATATTTGTTTGAACATGGTACAGATAAGGTCTATATTGCTGGACTTTTTTAAAATCAACTTGAAAATATTTCAAGGAAAGGTTGAAATTTATCAGTTTAAATTAGCCTTAAATGAATTTAAAAAAAGAAGCAAATTGAAATAATTTTGGTGTTTTAGTGGATGGGTTCTCATTATTTATGGCATATTTGTCAAATATGAATGCTCTATCATATGTCATTCAAAAGTAATCACCAAAGTTTATATTTTTGGAAATTAAGGGGGCCGACTATAGTTTTATTGTGTGAAAACTACAATACGGAAACTTTTCATTTTTATACTATATATAACTTACATTATCTTCAGTGTACATGCGAAGTTTGGGGGAAATCTACCGTCCAGGTATTTTTGAGGGACCGTCTCAAAGTACAAGTACATTTACTATAGGATTATATAGGAAAATGCCAATTTTTAGCACTTTAAAGCAAATTATACAAATACTACAATAGACATTTTGTTAAAACTATAATATTTGATGAGTAATACTATATTATACAATATAGGTATAAAGAAACAAATAATTCTACCGTCTTGTTACCAGAAGGGGCATCTCAAAATGCAAAAAATTAGCAAATTTTACTATTTTTATAGAGTGCTACAAAATATGACGTACACAATGGATTCACATGAAAACATAATAAAAATATTGAAGATATTTTCAAATTTCTATGTTTTAAATTTCAAGAGCGTATGTTTTTTACTTTTTCTTTAATAATATTTTTATTATCCCTTTCTGTAAGAGGTACAGATTATCATAACGTCAAAAAGACACTGAACCGACGTCAACCTACCTATCAATTGCAAAATCGGTTAAAAAATCAGTTGTATCAAATTTTGTTACATTTTTATTCCTATAATTTCTTAATTTTGTTTAATTTAAATAATTAAGCGAGAAAAGTTGCATTAAAACAGTAAATACGCTTCGTTTTACTATGATGCGCGAAATATTGCACAATGAAAACTTAAGTCAAACATGAAGGTCAAGGTTTAAAGGGTAAAAAATCATAGCATGCTCAGAAACATCTGGTTACAGGTATTGCAAAATGTGAAATCCCTACCTATTCCCAATCAAAAGTTATAAGAAAAGATAACATTTTAAAAAAGTAGGTCAAACTTAAAGGTCAAGGGTTAAAAAATCATAGTATATTTAGAAAGGTTTTGTCACAGATAATAAATAGGTGCAATATGAAAACCGTATCTTTTCTCTTTAAAGAGTCATTACCATTTTTAAGCAATATTAAATAAAATTAAAGTAGGTTAGACTTCAAGGTCAAAGGGTAAAAAATCATGGTATATTTGGAAAGGTCTAGTCACAGATGATGTACATGTGGAATATAAAAGCCTCATTCAAATGGTATGACCAATGTTTAAATTTTTTGACAGACAAATGAGATTTAATGTACCCAAGCTTTTCCAAAAGTGGGGGACAATAATCAACCTAACACATCTTCTATCACATTCTACTAATTGTTTGTTCAGGGAACTTACTTTCTTAAATTGTATTTAAAATATACCCTAAAATATACCTTGGATACCAATAAATCTCATCCGTCTTCTAGATGTCCAAAAAACTATAAACTTTGTCAATAACTTTTAAATGTCTTCATATTTCACATGTACATTACCTATAACATCAGTCTCAAGACCTTTTCAAATATAGTATGATTTTGATCTCTTGACATTGAAGTTTGACCTACTTTTCAAAACATTTATTCATCATAACTTTTGAAAGAGTATAGAAAGGGGTGTCATATTAAAGATACATATTACCTGTGACAAGATCTTTCTAAATATACTAAGATTTTTGACCTTGTGACCTTGAAGTTTGACCTCTTTTTCAAAAATGTTGCTTTACATTATAACTTTTGATTGAGAAGAGATAGGAATTTCATATTTGACATATGTATTACATGTAACCAGATGTTTCTGAGCATGCTATCATTTTGACCCATTGACCTTCATGTTTGACCTAATTTTCAAAAAATTTAACTTTTAATAGTCATTACTATTGAATGACATACTATAGGGCATTCATATTGATTACTATTGAATGACATCTATAAGGCATTCATATTTGACACAATATGCCATAAATAGTGGCATCCCATCCAATAAAACACCAAAAGTGGGGTACCACAATTCTTTGAATTTGCTTTTTTATCCAAATTCCCATTTGGAAATTTATATCTAGTTTAAAAATTCAAGTACCGGTACTGAAAATTACAATTTATTGGTGAGAACTTTATGTTTTCATAATCAAGAAAGAAGATAAATATATATATATATAGTATTTGTGATGGATATGCCAATCCTAATCTCTCATTGTTGCAGTGTCTAGAGGTAATAAAATCAAGTAAAAAAGAATGTATCTAATTTATAAAAGAAATTTTTATAACAAAAAAATCTATTAATCAAAGAGATATGGTCTTAAACTTCCTCAGTGCACAATTAACCTAGAACGGAGACACAAAAGAGCTTCAAGTTTAATAGAATGATGTTTCTATTACTATTGTTTTCAGCTGACTGTAAAGTTTCACGTTATGTCACGATCTAGTTGACAGCTGCACTCAAGGTAAATTGTACACGCCTCTTAACCACAAGCTTTACGACTGGAACTTTCTTCTTATCCCTGATTGGTTGCTCGTGCAACAGACTATTTCCGTATCAATGTTGATAATTGAGTTGACCAATCACGTGAATTGTTTACGCTGGATGCATCTGACAAAAAAGATCGAGACGAAACGTGAAACTTTACAGTTAGCTGCAAACAATAGTATTTATCCATTAATTCTTGATTAGGTATTGAGCAATCTAGATCTGATGAAACTGATCCAGTCATTTCAATGAAATTAAAAATATTTAAACAGAGGAAAAGGACACCCCCATGTGCAAAATTTAAGATATTTGAAATCAATACAATATTCTTAATCCAACAAGAAGTCTCCATCAAGACTGTAGCTCTACTGGTTTGTACTTATAAAAAGGAAGAGAAAAGTAGCAAGAGGACTTGAAACTCTGCAACAGCAATAAATAGAATGACCTTTGATTTAGCCTCTTTCCAGTAGAAAGTTTCGAATCAGATTAAAACTTTAAAGGAGTAGATTTTTAACAGACTTTTTCTATTTTAGTAACCATGGCATCATTGTTCATCAAAATTGATATTAAATAGAATTTTGTACATGTATCATAATGTAGTCTACTTGAGTGCCAAGTTGTACTGAAATCTAATCAAAACTTGAGGAATAGCAACATTTTAAGTTTAATTTAAATCAGACCAAAACTTAGGAGGAATAACATCTTTAAATTATTTCACAGAAATTTCTATTTTAGTAACCATGGCAACACCATTCATTAGAATCAAAAATCAATATATAGAATAATGTACCTAAGTGTTATTTATTTTAGTGCCAAGTTATAATGAAGTCAGACCAAAACTGTAGGAGAAGTAGTGCTTTGAAAGTATTTCACAGAAATTTCTATTTTTAGTATCCATGGCAACACAATTCATTGAAAGCAAAACCCAATAAACAGAATTGTGCATCTTAGTTTAGTCTACTTGTGTGCCAAGTTATACTGAAATCAGACCAAAACTTTAGGAGTAGTACAGTGTAGCATTTTGAAAAATTGTTTTCAGACAGACAGACAGATGGATGGATGATGCACACTTCACTAATCGCATAAGCTCTTCTGGACTCTGACTAGCAGAGCTATAAAGGAAGAAATATTGACCTATTCTTTTTACCAGGGAATTAAAATTTTTATGTTCAGGATCTTTAAAGAACTTTTTGTTTGACATTTGAAATATATCAGTTCACCATAACTTTTGCGAGATGCTAAAACATTTGTGAGTAAAGTATTTTTTCTGTATTGGTGCATTTACACAGAACCAAATCACCTTTAAATTGCACCAATTTAAAAATGCATTGGAATAAATACTTACATTACAACATGCTAACTGGACCTTTTTGCAGCTTTTCTTCTCTTAACATATAAGAATTTATAATTAAAAGCTGCAAAATAGTCAGTGTGCAAGAGACAAAAACAAACACATATATCTGAAAAAAAAAAGAAACAAAGCATATTTTGCAGTGTTTAAACAAAACAAGTTTAATAAAACAACAAAGAAAATTCAACAAAAGACGGTCTCCATTCATGCTCCTCCTCTTGTTTTATGTACAATAACATAAACACAAAATTAAAACATTTCTAATCAAGTTTCCCATGCATATCTGCACTTCACCAAATACGTCCAGAATAAAATGAAAATAAATCAAAAAACAAATTTTTTGAAAAAATTAAAAATCATGCAGAGAGAAGAATATCCAGCCACGCCACTACACCTAATTACCTGTGCTGCCGTCTTCGTTTGTTAGTACTGCGACTATGCTTGTTAGAATGTGAGCTGAAATATTTCAAACACAAAATGCTCGAATAGATGCAAAACAGTTAGTCAAGAGACATTTCTATCATTATCAGAATTAAAGTTGTTAGTAGAAAAATAAATGCATTAAACTTAATGTGTTTCTTTGAAAAAACTTTTGGCATTCTGAAAGGAATTATATGGTGAGCAAACATCATTAGAAGGATAAAAGAAACAAATATTAAAATGTGACATGTGATGTAAATGGGAACTAATTCATAAAAGGATGAACAATGATAAAATTTATGTTAGTTTTAAAACTTGAAAACAATATTCCTAGAAATAACAACATGAATGAACATTTTAACTGGCTTAGACTTCACTTCCTGGTATGAATTTACCAGCAAACCTGAAACTGATAACATTTATACTACAGTTCAGAAAACCCCTGAGTATAATGACAAAAGCAACTAGCATTTCAGTCATAACAGTTGAGTTTTCTGCACATTTCCAACAGTGCATCACACAATCAACATATTGCTATGCATTTTGTAGCAATTGTTACATGTACTTTGCCATAAATTCATTGAAAAATCATTTTCCATTCATGAAACTGTTGAACTTCTTTATAAAACAGCTGGTTTGCCATTTTATTTTAAGAGAATGAATTTCAGTTTATTTCACTTTCTTTGGAAAGTCATGTGATGCACTCTTGTGGAGAACATAAGACATAAATTTGTCAATATTAATTGGCAAGATTTTGTCCATTTAGATCATTTCAGTACCATATATAAACAGGAATACACTGTAAGCCTTACCTTAAAACCTTACTCGACAAAATTTGGGAGAAGCATTCAAAAAATGATGGAAACTGTTATATTATTGTTTTCAGTCACAAAATATCATCAATATACAAATTTTTACCACTTATTTAATGAAACTTTTAAAAATGTCTGTCACATTGTAACAAATAGATTAAACAACAATGAAAAGAATGGTTGATTTTAAAAGCATTTTTGAGGTTGATCAAATTTTGTTGAATTTTGTTGAAAATCACAAAAAATATGAATCCCTATCTATTTTCCATGTAGGGAAATGTAAACTTTCTTTCAATAGGGAATTATAAATTTGACAACATTTAAATTCTAATTTTAAAATAAAAAATTTCTATATACAGGCCCATGGGCCATAATGCTTACTTAAAGATATTTCCAGACACAACTGGTTTCATAGATATTGGCCAAATAAGACATTTTATACATTTACACAAAATTAGACAAGATTGCAGAATACAAAATATCAGGACAAAATATCAGGATTAGATAAATTTCACCATACATTTTATAATGAACTTGATATAAAATTGAAACCCATTATTGTTGCAGCTAAAGCCAAGTGTTTCCAAAGCTCTTTTCCCCATTTAACTATATTACCAGACCACAACTCAAATGGCTAAACACTTCACAAACTTGAACCCAAATAAGGTTGCTTGCAATGCAACATAATAAATGCCCCCCCTCTACCCCAAGATTTTCATGGAATATTTTCATTGAATATTTTCTAACAATTCTATAAAAATCTCTTTTGTGGTCCAATTCTAAGTTTGACATAGATAATTAGAGGTTATTAGTTTGGTTAAAACTGACTTTTGGGTTCCCTAAAAATATTTACAGACAACAGAATACAGAAATATGGACATATAGACACTGGAAACTTTGATCTGAATGGCTCATTTGACCCAGTCAAGTGAAAAATTCCCCACAAATGAAATAATGATTGTTGGGTTAATTTTTACTGATTAATAGTATGTATAGAGCAAAATATAACCTTCCTTCAGGCATTGTATAGCCTTATATAACTGAGAGGAAAAAATCAATTCTTATATTCAGAACTATCACATTTTGAATTACCATCAAAGAAACCTATTTTCCTTTGTCAACTTCAAAAGAAATAAAGAGAAATTAAGATACACTCAGCATTTTATTTTTCAATACTGCATTGTTTGAAACATTTTGTATATAAAAAAAGATATGGTTTTTTAAATTGCTGCATTTTCACATGATAAAAATCAATTGTCACTGAAGTCTCAAGTAAGTTCTTGTACCAATTTGTAAATTATACTAAAATAATTAATACAAGAGGGAAAAAACAAAAACAATAGATAAAAACTAAACTGAAATAGTGAAGTTACCTGCTATTGAAAGTGAAGGCTTCCACAAAAACAAAAGAAATTTATCAAGCATTTTATATATGCAAGTAAGATGAAGAGCTCTGTAAAAGGATGACTTCAAAGAAAATGAATGGATAAATGATTATTGTTTGCTCTTGATTTCACCCTCACTCTCTCTGTAATAAGAAAATCTGCAGTTCTTCACAAAGGTATTACCAAACCACCAGTGGTAGAATATACACCCATGCAGAGATTTTATTTCCAAGCTTTTTTTGTATATAATAAAGATTAACAACTGCTGTAATAAACCATTTACACTAATTTCATTTCCCCCCAAAGTGAAACATTTCTGAAACCCTTTGAGAATTTAATCTTTGGGCAATTTGAACACAAAATATGCCAATGAATTTCATGAAAGTTATTATTCAAAAATATGATACATCAACATTGACTTCAATGCACAACATAAAACCTAAGTATTGTGCTCTTTCATCATGAGAAAAAAATGAATGTATTAAACACAATATATGACAATGTACAAACTACATAGAGAAAGTGAAATATAAATTGTACATAAATGAAAGGGTGACACAACTAAGGAGAAGAATATATACATAAATATCAACTCAAAAAAAGAATACTATAAATTAAGGTACGTTTTGTAAAAACAGACAACTACACTGCTTTACATATAAATTGAGTGACCTCTAAAAATAAGATCATGTGAAAAATGTTTCCCCTGATCCCTTTACTTTTTTCTTTAAAAATAAATAAAAATCAAAAATCCAGGAAATATTTATGTAACTTACTGAAAATAAGAAAGCAACTTAAAACTCAAACAAAAACAAAGCTCAAGGTAGAGGAGACAAATAATACAAAGTTCCCCCTTAGTTTCCACAAGGGAAGGCATTCCTTGTTATTCTAGGGAAGTGCCCCACTGCCCGATTTTTGTCACCTGTTAAGTTTGATGTAGTGAACAACGTGTAATGCTATAACAGATTAATACTTCTCCTCCAAGGAACGATAGCCTACCGATCACGCTTGCGCTTTTTGCTTTTCTTCTTTTTCTCTTTTCTCTCTGGAGAATTACTGTCATCTCTGAAACAATCAAAATGTCATTTGAAAAGATCAAGATGTGACTTCTCATTGCGTCTGATCATACCATAAATAATTCTGTCATATTGCGTTATAAATGATTTGTAATTCGGGTCACAACATTGCCTTTTTACTTATTTACTGAGGCATAGGTTGGGTTATTGGTAACTTATGACATTCTACTATGTCCTTTGTGACTTTCATGCATATTGGCAACTTGTTTACCCAGACAGTTTTGTTCCAAGCAGATCTGTCTGATTAACTGAATAATCTTTGTGTTGATACTACTTCACATGATATTATTGATTACAAGCATACCCCATTCAGGCCCAATATCCAAGTATAGTGGCTTTGTATCTGTGCTTAATGGAAATGCTAACATAATATTTTCACTTAGCCATAATATGCATTTTGATATATTGTTAGCTTAAACATATACTTTTTTTCCCAATAAAATTGTTTGCAATCATTTTCACCCTCCCTGCATTACGACTCTGTTCTCTCTATTCAGGTCAGGATTGGAATTTAATTTGAATCTATACTACCTATAAATCTAAGTAGAATTACCTGCTGGACTTTTTCTTTTTCCTTTTTGGAGGCGGTGAAGGAGATCTTTCTGATGAACTGGAATCTCTTACAATGCTGAAAGAAAACAATAACAGATCTATAATCATAATGCATGTTTTGAAGCAGTGGAGAACTGAACAAGATGCCCTTTGGCCACAAAGCTCACCAGTCTATAAAAAGTCCTGCTATTTTTCATCAGTAGATTTAAGATGTTTTCCTTTATATTTCTCTGTAAAACTTTGAAATCTTTTTTTGGGGTGCCCACTCTATCTTGGGTATGATTTGAACTAATTTGAATTTACACCATGTGATGAAGTTTTCACATGAATTTTATTTTTTCTAGAAATGATTTTTGAAAATTATAAAATTTATAAAAACAACCAAAGACACCAGGCAAATTTTGATTGGCAAAGATTAATTTCTCAAACCTTTGGCTCAGGTGAGCTAAAATTTTGATTTCTAGATTACTGCAAATAATCATTTGAGATATACTTTTAAACCTAATATTTTTTTTTGAGAACTTTTTAGCAGTGTGTATGTTACTTACTTGTACTTCTTTTGTGCCATTGCTACAGCTTTGGCCTGCTCCTCTTTAGCCTTTCGGTTGGGATCAAAGGAGGAACCATCCACATAGTTTTCACCAATGCCGAAGGCCTCCTTAATACGGGCATTCTTCTCTGCTGTTGCTTGTGCTATCTGATGACTCTCCTTAGCTCTATAATCAAGAATTTTTGTATTCATCATGATTGTGTTCTTGATCATTAGTGAATTCCAAATACAATGTATTTTTTTTTTATACTAACCCTCTAAATCTTTAAATAACAATTATTAATCCATTTTACCTTTGTACTTTGAAGTTTTGTGCAGATATGACAAGTTTGTCTATCAAAATTCCTTTATCATACAAAACCCATGCAAGATGGAGTTTGAGTCCTCCGACAATTTATATTTATAAAATTTTATTTCTAAAATTATCAAAATCTTTCAAAATTATAGCCACGACCTGGGAAACAGGAAGCGCCTCATAGTACGACATAAGCCCTCCCCTACTTTGACTATGTTAGCTAACAAAGAATGAATTAATTCTAACTCAAACCAAAGAACTATATGCGGTATTAACCAACATTTGCCCCCCAAAATCAAACTTTGATGGAGTAGTATTTAATTAAGTCCTTAAACAGGGGAGTATATGCTGACTTCAAAGCACTGAATAATTTCATAAGTAATGACGTCATATGTACGTAATGACGTCACAAATATGACGTAAATTTCAGTTTTTTGTGAATTTTGCAGAAAAATGTACATATTTCGTCGATATTTTAAATAAAAGTCACCGAGCGCATGTGTGTTCAGGATAAATATTTTGATATAATGTGTAGAATGATAATATCAATGAAATATGTCAATATTGTTCCTGAACACACATGCGCTCTATAAATTTTAAAGCTTAAATTGTTGAAATTTTGTCCATTTTGTCCTCTTTCTGAAAAAGGATATAAAATCGGACTAGTTTGTGACGTCATAAAAACAGAAATTGTGAATACACTGCTCTGGAACTATAATATTTTCTGTTAACTTATATTTCTCGTACAATTTATTGAATTCAGCACATTTCAGGAAGTTTTCAAAATTTGACTTTTGTGGGGGCAAACATATGCAATATACCGCATATAGTTCTTACAGATGTATAAGGATTACTACATTGCCTGAATAAACCTGTCAATTCGACTGTAATAAGAAATAAATTTCATTACCAAGCACAGCAGTAACTTTAGAAGTAAACTGTTGCAAATTATTTGTTTTCCATTGACTTAATTCCCAACACAGCTTGAGGTTATTGAATTCATATAAAGTTCCCAAATTATTTTAAGTGTTTTAAGTGTTCTCAGTTGGAAATTTAGTTTTCAAAAATTTGTCTGTTTCTTGCTATAATGTCATCTAGAAGAATTAATGTGGGGGTGTAGAACTAAGTTAAATGAGCTGATGAAATGCTAGTTTTAGGGGATTAATGAAAAGGCTTTAGAAAGCAGATTTACAAGTTTTTCACCAATTGTAGGACAGAGGAAAGATTGATATCAAGTAAAATGGACTGAAAAAGGGATGGATTGAATACACGTCTAATAAGATTATATGACTAATACCTTTACACTATGTGGACATGGAAAAAAACTCTCCATGTGTCAATATATTGGATTACAAGAGATATCGCATGAAAAATGTATGTAAACTTAATTAAGTAGTACATATAAAAAGATTGCTTTATGCACTGGTAGAATATTAGAAATACATTCATAAGTTTCCAGTATAACTTGTAGTTATCTACACATGCATTTTAGAACATTTGCTCTTTTTGACATCAAGGAAACATATGGAGTCCGAATGTAATGCACTTATAACAAGAACTTTTTAAAATTTGCAATATAATATCTATAGCAGCCATTAGACTCCAAAAAAATTGTGCTCAATCAACTTACTGACAATGTCACATTGTACCTACATATAGACATTAAAACATCCCAGAGAATAGACTCCTTGTTGATGACAAACTGGAGATTTCACCCTAGGACAACATTTCCCATTGATCTGATTCCAGAAAATGTCAAAGATACTAGATGGTTCATGGTGACTTCCTGATCTACAATTCCTCCTACAGTTTACACAACACGTATGATCCTGGTAGGTGGGTTTCTCTAGGATCAGAACAGATTTCTGTCCCCCTCCACTCAGTAACTCAGAGGTCTCCTCCATCTCTTTGTAAGGGTCCATCTTCCCTACCACAGAACAGTAGCCAAACGATATGTGAGTCTCCATCTTCTATTTTATCTCCATTTATACAAGACTGAATAGTCTATATAAGGAAAGTTCATAAAAACTTTTTCCTTGAAATAATTTTAATATTGTCCAAAACTCACTTTGACAAAGAATGCTGCTATAAACCCATGTATATGGCAATTTTACTGAACTAGTACTTTAACCTCACAAAGATAATTGTTATGCACACATAATACTGTTGTCTTTTTCTTGCTTTAATCAAAGTCAATAATTTATATTAAGCTTAACACAAGAAAGTATTCCATTCTTTTTATTTCAGATTTTTGTAAATATTCTCTGAAATAGACAGCACCTTTGAGTCTGTCCTACTGACAGTAGTTAGGAATGGAGAAGCACAAACTTAACACCTCCCTGTTATAAAGTATATACATAAGCTGACTATGATAGACTACCAATGATTGATCAATTATTCACCACAAAAACCAATAGGCTTCCACAGAAGCCTCTGGTGCACTCAGATCAACTGATTCCAGTGATTAAGAGACAGAGTAAATAGATTCCCCTTTTGTGATGTTTAATATCAGCGACAGAACTTAGTGACACTAAGCTTACTCTCATTTGATATCTTGTAGTAAATGAGTTTGGGAAAAAAAATTATTTGAAATCATTCAACAATGAGAAGTCAGAGCTGTTTTAGTAAACAAACACCCACCCCACCTCCCATTATTTTATTTTCAAATCAAAGAATTAAGCCCATAATTAAAAACTCACAACAGTTGAAAGTACATTTGGAAGTGGATGATCTAGAAGAATATCATTAAAAGCTTTTAATATGAGTTTTTTTTTTTTTTTTGAATTTTTTTTAAAAAATATTTTTTACATCTAATTTTTTTTTTATTAGTTCCTGATCCAAGAAATTGTGAATTGCAGATCTTTTTGCAGGATGTGTTGAGTATTTGAAGCAACATTTTGTACTTGGACTATGTTTTTACACAATGTTGTCAGTCACTTGGCTCTCAAGAAATCCTACTCTCTTTAGAGAAGTGGACAGGCTTTTGCCTACATCCACTTCTCTAAAGAGAATAAAGAAATCCTAGAAGCATTGGAGATTAACAAGTTTAACCAGTTTTGCCAACAGGAAAAGACATATAGAGAACTCTGATTTATTGCTAAAACTGATGTCCAATAATGCATGTACATAACAGGTCAGTCCTCTATTAATGCAGAGAAACCAAGTTTGGTTTTGTGTTTTAACAAGTAACACGTCTATTCTTAATTCATTAGTCAGCTCTAATGGTGGATCTGCTACTTTAACATAATATCCAAGACAATATGGTTCTATTTCCGATAGTTTCATGAAATTTTCTCAACCAAAAGCAAGTGATCACTGGAAAAAAGCATTCTGCAAATTGAATAAATTGAATAATGGTCACCAAATAGAAGGGAATAGATGTTCCAGGACTGGCAGTAATTGATATTTACATCTGCATACAGGCGACTTGTAATTTCATTTGTAGACATACAGTAAACAATGTGTCACTCATTGTACCAAAATTGCATTTCAGGTCTGGCTGCCCACAGAAATTACCAACCAAGTCTGATTTCACCAAAGATTGATGGTTTGTAAGCAAATTTCATAGACTCTTGAACTTTTGTAGACTCTTGTTCCATGTTAATCTACTTTCTTCTGCTGATTAATTTTTACCAGTAATATACTTGTAATTTTTTATTTCACCCCCCCCCAACAAAATCATTTATCTGAGATTATCAATTCAATGTAAATGTACATGTATTTTCTCTATTTTCTTCCTATATCTCATAAGTTCATAGTTTTCTTTAAAAAACAAACATAAAATTAAAAAAAAAAAAATTTAATGACCTAAAGTAATGCAAGAGCATCCCTCTTAGTTCTGGCCCTGTGTAATGTCTTAGAAATTATTCCAGAACTTTTTTTTTTGATTGTCCATTACATTTCAATCCCATTTCATACATGCAGGAAATCACTCTACAATTAGAATTTTCAAAAAACACAAATCTAATGGTTCATTTCCACTCACCCACTCAAATCTAAGAAATGTTAGCAGGGAATTTGGAATGCACACTGGTACCATCATCTACACTAATGTCTCAGAAAGTGCCAATATTTCTAGAAATACTAACTATCAAATTTATCTCTGCGTGATGTACAATAAGGGGTATAATAATGATGGCCTGCCAGGATTTCCAATATTCAATAACCTGTGTCTTTTTTACGCTACTTAAGTCTGTCGTGTTTATGGTCTTGGCTTCCCATCTTAGACACCCTTACCATTCCCCGACACATAAATTACTTCCACTGAAGAACGCCAAGAAAAATATACAGCTATTTAGGTCCTTGTTTTCATCTGCCAACAGAACAGTTTCTTGCAAAATATTTATGGATCAAGGCCTATAAAAGTACTTATCAATGATCACGCATTGCCAGCATCATACAGGGGATGATAAATCCCCAGAGCCAACCATACAAGTTAACTCCATGTATAGACTAGATTAAGTCAATATGAATATGGATGTTATTATTAATAAATTTATTTTGACTATAAATATTTTACACATGAAAAGTGTTATTTACCAATATACTAATTTAACATTTGGGTTTAAAAAGTAAGTTGTACATGTATTATGATTACTAGATATTAATAAGAATTTTTAATGAGAATTCAATTTTGGCATTACATATATTATCAACAGTGTTCTGGATGCTTAGATTGAATATCACTAACAATCAAGATATGGTACTGAAGGCAAGACTATATTTCACAGATAAAAATTCACTATAAAAATATATCTGATTACAATATATGTGCTGTACTTATTTTTAAGTATTTGCATCTTAATCGTTTAAAATTCAACTTGTACAGGATAATAAACATTGTTTGTAACTGCAGACATTAAATTTCACTGAGGAATTATAGATTAATCAATTCTGCAAAGACATTCTGCAAAATATTATATTTATGTCACACTTGATTTGAATAACATACAAAAATATAACCAGTGAACAAAACATCATCTTGATAATGACTGTATTGTAATTTATATATAGCAGCCAGGCTGTTCCTTTCACATCATGTTTAACAATAAAAGATTAATACTTCCAAAATGATAACAACAAACAATTCTGAATTGTAAAAGCTGTAATTTGTTATATCCTTCATTTTTAAAACTACAGGGAATAAAAATCACTTGGCTTCATGTGTGAACTTATTAAAATGTGTTTGCTGCAACAAAGTTTTACTGTATTTGCCTAAAAATAATGACACTTAGTGTTAATCACAGATTAACACGATTTCTCCTGTAAAATTTAGGAACATTTTATAACCCATGAATCATCATAAATCTTAATTTATTTTATTATACCCTTGGCAAAAAAAAAAAAGATTATTTGAGGCTTTGATTTATGCATGCTTTAAACCTGAATTCAACCATATACTTTTATGAGAATTGAATATGACTTCTAGGCCATAAAACTTAGACTGAGTTTTTTTTCCCATTCTCACTTTTCTACTATAAATTCCTATTGTAAAAAGTGAGGCTGAGATTAAAAGTGAGCTTGTGTGTAAGTTTTGTGGCCCTGGGTGCTGAATGACGGTCAAGGACCAGAGACTACTTGTTACTTACACTGGACGTCCAGAGGAGTCTTTTTCCACTGTAGCTTCTGACACACCCTCTTTCTGAACAAGCATTGTTCTGAACATGGTCACCTTCTTCTCAATCTCATCTGCTGAATATCTAAAGCATATAATAAAATAATCAAACTCAAATCCTTATCAGTTTGAAGTGATTGGTTTTACCATATTCTTAAACAGCATATCAGTAGCTCACTGGTCTGAAAAAATTTGGCTGGATGGATGACCAGATAGCTTCAGTGCCACCCATAAAAACAAGAGCCAATGGGCCACATCACTCACTTGAGCACTGTGGCTAAGAAAAAAGCAAAAATGAAAAAGCTTAAATGCAAAAGTGGTCCCACCTACCCCTAAAAGGGGGATCTAAATAAAATTACCTGGACAAATTTTCCTATATATTCCTATGTATAACTTTGATCGACCATTGTGGCTGCATCCTACCCCTGGGGGTCATAATTTGAATAACCTTGAATCTACACAACATGAGAACGCTTCCTTAATAATATGACCAATCATGGCTCTGTTGTTCTTGAGAAGACTTTTTTTTCCTATATATTCCTCAATCAAATAAGTTAATATTAAAGCAATATGAATAATAATAATTTTACATCACGTTTCTGCATATAAAGTCTTGGTACACAAAAACTGAAAATATTTAATACTGAAATCTTTGATCATCCTTTGTGGACCAATCCTAACTGTTAGTATTCTTTTCCTTGTGTTTGCAAATCAAATCAGATCAAAGTTGTCAAGGTTAACAAATATTATCCATATTAATAAGAACAAATTGAACTTTTGCATTTAATTAAGATCTACTAAATTAACTTGTTTGTCTGACTTGGAAGAGATGCAGAACCCCACAAATTTTATTTTAATTCCTATTTTAATTTTTATTCTTTTTTTTAGCAATGAAACTGTTTCTTGTCTTCCATAATATTTTTACATTCATTTTGAACTGTTATGAGTTATATGAGTAAATTATGAAATCAATAATTCATAACAGTTTAAATAAGTATAAAGTATAAACTGAGACAAGATTACATACACAACTTATGGGGTGAGTAAAACATTTCATTGCTGTTTTATAGTTTTTTTGATCCTGGGACATCATGTTTATTAAAACTTTATGTAAAAATACTTGTAAATGTTAAAAGTAAATGTTAATCCTAAACAGGAATAAATACATTTAACATCAATCTCAACACTGCTCGAGGTAAACTATCAAGGTTATGAATAAAAGAAGTCAGTAAGTTACAGACTCTAAAAAACCAGTAGCTCACCCTTGCTCCTCCATGAGAACCTGCATCTCCATACACTTGAGTTCCACTTTGCGTTTCCGTTCATGGTCCAGGATTTCTTTGTTGGGCTGTTTGATTAGTTGTTCGTCTAACTTCTTGAGCTCCTCTTCTGACTTGTAGTCCACTCGGTCCTTGTGTTTCCTTAAGAAGGACAGATTTCTCTGGACGTAACCATTAGTTCCACTTCCTCTGGCAGTCTGTAGTCCAATACCATTGTACATGGTCTACTCTGCAAAATCATGAAGGATTCTGTACACACCTGAATTTTGATACCGATTATTTTAATCAAAAGACATAATTCTTACAGCTGACAATATTGGAATAGGACAGAAAGAAAAATCAGGGATTGACATTAACGGTTGTCCGATTGCCCGGGACAAGTAAATCATCAGTTCGGGCAAGTGAAATCATCAATGTACTTGTCCGATCGGGCAAGTGGATATTTCTGATAGAAACGTTTTTTAGCTCACCTGAGCCGAAGGCTCAAGTGAGCTTTTCTGATCACATTTTGTCCGTCGTCCGTCCGTCTGTCTGTCTGTCTGTCTGTCTGTCTGTCCGTCTATCCGTCTGTCCGTCTGTAAACTTTTCACATTTTTGACTTCTTCTCAAGAACCACTGGGCCAATTTTGACCAAACTTGGTACAAAGCATCCTTTGGTGAAGGGGAATTTAAATTGTTAAAATGAAGGGACATATCCCCTCGCAAGGGGAGATAATCAAGAAAAGACAAAAATAGGGTGGGGTCATTAAAAAATCTTCTCCTCAAGAAGCACTGGGCCAGAAAAGCTGAAACTTATTTGCACATGGAAGGATCCTGGGGTAGTTGATTTCAAAATGTCTTAATTATGATCAGTGGGGTAGGGTGGGGATACATAATGTATTACAAGGGGGAACTCTGGTAAAGAACAGAATGGTCAAAGCTTCTCAGGTGAGTGATGTGGCCCATGGGCCTCTTGTTTTAATCTTACATTAGTTTATAAACAAAACAATGAATTGAACAGTTGATTTCCGCCAAAAACATGACATTGTTTTTGCATTCGGAATCCCTCGGTAACGTTTCTGGATCATACCTTTATTTAGAAATCGGGTTCGTTATTCTGTTTTCTTTCGTTCACTCTCTGCCTGACAACTTATTATGAACTTACGATATATTCTTACGAAATATATATAATAGAATAGTTTATTTAATCACTTACAGAATATAAAGAACACAAGTTGTTCTCGGTAATGATGTATCTTGATTCAAAACATGATAACTGTTTTCCTTTTAGTTGACCTTAATCGCTTGGGGGGGGGGGGGTAAATTTTCAAAAAAAAAAAAAAAGAAAAGAAAAGGAAATATCATTAGTGCATTGCTGTACGTGTGTTTACAGGATAGTAAATTACAGGAAAGTTGTTTGCAGTTAAGTTTAAAATAGAAATTAGTTTGTTAACTCTGTAATATTTACAGTATCAAATTAAGATACAGTAACTGATATTTTCTTCTTTAAAATTTTTGGGCAACCAAGTTTTGCGTTCGGGCAAGTCAAAATTGTAGTTCACTTGCCCGAAGGACAAGTGAATATAAAAGTTAATGTCAATCCCTGAAAATCCAACTTTTAAAAAACTGTATCCAATGTCATCAACTATCTTGCATTGTTCAACAGGAACAACTTCACTGTACCAGTCCCAAGAAAAACACGCTAACTTTTTAACCCCAAAATTGAATTCTACAGATAAAAATTTAGTTAAAAACTTTGTTTTTATACAAAGTTTTTAAACTGTGTTCTCTAAAAAAAATTAATATACTTTTTATTGATAAATCGCGAAAAATAATTGTGAACAAAGTGCATGCGATGCTTGCTTTATGCTGTTTCTTTCATATTTTGATTAGTCACTTGTTGATGTAAAACAAGACGTGTTTGTGAAACACTATGCGCCCGGCAGCAAAAAAGTTCGAAAAAACTATTTTTAGCATATAGGTCACAGTCAAGGTCACAAGGTAGAGGACCCTGGTGTCATTAAAAACAGTTTAATTAGTGGAAAATGCATACCAAATATGAAGTCTTCATCTCCCATGGTTCAAAAGTTATGGCGAAAGTTTGAAAAAGCTATTTTGCAGATCTTGCAGATTTGGGGACTGGTAAACAATCTTATAAACAACTTATAATTTTTTTCAAAATTCCCTCTTGTTTTTGTAAAGAATACAGACCAGTGTGTGAGAAATTATCTTGATTTCTTTAGCAAAAACAAATGAAACTCTAACACCCTACTTTGATGGATCATTCATTGGCACTTACCCCCCCCCCTCCCCCCCCAATAGAATTTGTTCCATATATTGACAATGTAACAAAATAAACATGGGCAATAAATCAGACTGAGTGCATCTACTACAAGCAATCCAGAGTTCCAAAAGTAAGGGTAAACATGACATGTAAATTAGAAGGGAGAAAAAACGCTGAGAAAATTAGTTAAATTTTCGTCTAAATATATGGATTATTTGTTAGGATAAAAGGTAAATACAATCTCAAAAAGGTTTATTTTGAATAATTTGGTAGTTATTTTCAGTACAACCCCATCTGAATTCTTCAAAATCATTTCGGAGCGGATCTCATCCGATTTGCAACATTGAAAGTATATGGGATATATTTCTCACTGTGGTGAGGGCTTGTACCGAGACACAGCTAGATTATTCTATCAATAATCAAGCTATGTGTAAAAAATAGATTGTGCTGAACCTACAAGGCAGGGGTTACAACACAGGCACTTGTTTCATATACCCCTGCTTATTTTTACTACAAGGTACCTAACTCAACTTCAGGCAAGATAAAACTGATAAAAAATAAAATGACAAAACAGAGATCTCGGAAATGAATACAAGGAAATTTCATCATTCATTTATAATCCAAACCGGAAATAGATGTATCTCATGCGATGTCTCATTTTGTATCGAGGTAATTTTTGAGGAATAAATGAGTGGTTTACAATAAACGGCTCGACCAAATACTCCTGAAACAATTTAACTGACCAAAAAAAGTCTCGAAGTGAATGATGTCATTTAAAAGTAGGTTAATGATTGATATATTAATAAAATACGAGCTTGAAGCGGGGGTGCCTGAAATTGAGTTAGGTACATTGTGGTAAAAATAAGTAGGGGTGCTCCATATACGTAACAAGTGCTTGTGGGTTAGTAGCAGGGTTACAATTAAAATTTGCCATCCAGTCAGCTCCAAACTTTTTTTGTTACGAGATGACGTATTTGGTTCAAGACAACATGGTTACGAGAATTTCGGGTAACAAGCTGACTTGATATTGATTAAACAACAGAGATAATTCTAGTGAAATAAACAACGCAGCATTCGTCGATTCGAAGTAACATTAAAAGCTCTAATCACTCGTCCTAGATCCAGCAATGTTATAACTTACAAATAAATTATAATTCTCTCTATGTACTGTGTGAGCTAATACAGCTTATACCATCCAACAAAGACAGAAATAATCCAAACTTAAAAGAAATAATCGATCCTGACAGATGGACTGTCGTTTTTTGGTCGATGATAGCGCCCCCTAGGGAAAAATTCAGCAGTCGTACAACTATTTCTAACAACCGAAATATTGATGTAGAGAGAAATAATAAAATAAAAAATGAGTTAAAGGGCCATGTAAATATGATATCAAATGTCAAATAAATGTTATTTTTGCAGAAAACGCATATATCGCCAGATGTCGCGTATACACTGGATTACCCGAATAGGTTTGAGAGCGAACACTAGAAATCCAAGCTGGGCACTTGAATGTCCGTAGGATATTGGGAATATATAGTATGTACGCTTGTTTCCTATTTAGAGAAAACACATGACATTATTATTGATGTCTTTAAATGTATTGAAACTGCAATATATTTTATAAAAAAGTTACTTTCTGAAATGTACGTCAAAACGTTATTTACGTCAAAACATGAACATTGGCAGAAGGCCAGAATTCATCAATAGCATGTAAAACGTCACGTATTATGATGCAAATGCTAAATAATGTTTAATTCCTACTTTATAGGACAACCGAATACACCCGTGAATTAAATGAGAAATACGACTTCCACGCCAACCAGTTTTAAGGACTGCCAGCCAAATGAAATAGGTATATTTTGTCAAGATCATGTAAGCTAAAAACTCAGCGTTTCTGATACAAGTTTATCGTTTGTTTGTCACCTTTTTAGGTCACCTGAGTAACTCAGGTGACCTATTGCTATCTGTTTTCGTCCGTCGTCGTGCGTAGTGTGTCGTGTGTTAACATTTGAACATTTTCAGCTTCTTCCCTGAAACCACTGAACCAATTTCAACCAAATTTGGTAAACAGCATCTATGGATGAAAGGGGACAAAAAATGTGAATTTTATGGTCCCCGCCCCCTGTGGCCTGAGGGATGGGGCAAAACCACTAAAATTATTGCAATCTTTAAAAATCTTATTCCAGAGTTCTTGAAATCTTTTGGTCCTGTCGGCAAGACAGATAAGAACAACCAAGGACCGATTACTTTGCGTTCTGTGTCAGTCCAAATGACTGGTAAATGTTGACAGAGGAACTTGTGAAAATATGACTAAATTTCATACCAATTCTCTATAACATCTGATGGTAATCTTTCAAACTCTTTTCTGCAATCTTATAATGGCTTCTTCGATGAACGCAAGTGTCAAACTATGATTGGTAAACTGATAAAACAGGTTTGTTGACGATGCTACACTAAGCCAAGTGAGAAAATCAAACTAGATTAAACAAGAGGCCCAGGGGCCACAGCGCTCACCTGAGAACATCTGGTAGGAAAAAGCACATATCAGATCAGAACTGAAAGATTACTGAGGTTGGGGGGGGGGGGGGGGGCTTGAATTTTAACCCCCCAGGGGGTCATGATTTGAACAAACTAGAATCTTCAGTACCTGAGGATGATTCCATATAAATATCACTAATCATGGCTTTGAAGTACTTGAAAAGAAGATTTCAAAAGGTTTCCCTATATATTCCTATATAAAACTTTGGTCGGCCATTTTGGCCCCACCCTAGCCCCGGGGGTCATGATTTGAACAAACTTTAATCTACACTACCTGAGGATGATTCCACACGAGTTTCATCTTTCCTGGCCCAGGGGTTCTTGAGAAGAAGATTTTTTAAAAATGCCATTAATTTTTCTCTAATTCATAATTATCTCCCCTTGGAAAAGGGCGTGGCCCTTCATTTGAACAAACTTGAATCCCCCTTACCTTGGGATACTTTGTAGCAAGTTTTGTTGAAATTGGCTCAGTGGTTCTTGAGAAGAAGATGAAAATGTGAAAAGTTTACAACGACGACGACGACAGACAAATTTTGATCAGAAAAGCTCACTTGAGCCTTTGGCTCAGGTGAGCTAAAAACTATGAAGAAAATCGACCCTCGAGATAACTCAAAGAAAATTGACAATCAAATCAGCATGAAGTGTGCAATGTTTATTGAAACATGGTGCACAATGTATTGATAATAAAGTCGAACAAAGTTTTCATCCTTTTATTTAATTTGTATTTTTTGGACTGATAGAAATCTGTCTGCACTGAAAAACTTCACATGGCAGTCAGTCCAAATGACTGACAGCGGAAAAAAGATTTCAAGAACTCTGTTCTTCTTTACTCCTGGACATCAAGCAGGCAAACTGTTGGCATGAATGTAATGAGCATTGAGTCCTCTACCAGAATTGTGAAATTCATGGCCCCATGGTCAGGGGTTCTAGTGCTAGGGCAGGGCTATATAGATTATATAGTGAAAATGCATTATTTCTTTGAACATCTTCTCTGCTCCTGGGTATTAAATAAACTAACTAAGTACATAGTTATGATGAGCAAGAGTGCCTCTTCAAAAATTGTGAATTATATGGCCCCAGGGTCAGGGGTTCTGGTGTTACTGCAGGGCTCTATTGATTATACAGTGAAAATGCATTATTTCTTTGAAAATCTTCTTCTCTGCTTCTGGGTATTAAATAAACTAACTAAGTACAGTCACAGAGTTATGTTGAGCAAGAGTGCCTCTTCCAAAATTGTGAATTTTATGGCCCCAGGGTCAGGGGTTCTGGTGTTAGGGCAGGGCTCTATTGATCATAAAGTGAAAATGCATTAATTCTTTGAAAATCTTCTTCTCTGCTTCTGGGTATTAAATAAACCAACTAAGTACATAGTTATGTTGAACAAGAGTGCCTCTTCCAAAATTGTGAATTTATGGACCCAGGGTCAGGGGTTCTGGTGTTAGGGCGGGGCTCTATTGATCATATAGCGAAAATGCATTAATTCTTTGAAAATCTTCTTCTCTGCTTCTGGGTATTAAATAAACTAAGTTAATACATAGTTATGATGAGTAAGAGTGCCTCTTCCAAAGTTGTGACATTTATGGCCCCAGGGTCAGGGGTTCTGGTGTTAGGGCGGGGCTCTATTGATTATATAGTGAAAATACATTAATTCTTTGAAAATCTTTTCCTTTGCTCCTGGGTTTTATGCCAATGATCCAAGTATATATATTTATGATGAAGAAAGGTGTATCTAGCAAAATAGTTATATTTTATGCACCCCTGGGTCAGGGGGTGGGGGGTTACGTAATTTGAAAATAAATTAATGCTTTGAAATCTGCTCTTTGGTATTAATCAACCATTTTATGATAAAATTTGCAAAATTTTGAAATATGTGGCCCCAGGGTCAGTGGTTCCTTTGGGGTGAGGTGCACAACTGGTTATAAAGTGGAAGTGCATTTTCTCTTTGTTACTCTGGTCTACCTCTGGGTATTAAGTAAACAGAGTAAGCAATGGTGCCTCTTTCAAAATTGTGAATTGTGAATTTCATGGCCTCTGGTTTAAAACACGAACCAGAATTTAATTCTTTGAAAGTTGTTACACAATACTCAGATGACCTATAAGGCCCGTGGGCCTCTTGTTAATTTTTAACATTGTCAACTTCTTTTCAAAATAAATTTGGCTATTGTTAAACATTTTTTGTGAAGACTCCTTTATGACAATGTGGCATTTTGCATTAACGGAAGAGAAGGGGGAAAAAACAAGTGTGTTGATCTTTTATCAGTTTGGATAGTTCAGATCAACACATGCTTCACAAATAAAGGCAGGGGAACCAAAATGAAAGGTCAGAGGGACTTAAGGTAATGGCTTTTAAAACCTAAGCCCATGTTATGACGGGCATTGGCCAAATATTGAACCCTGACTGCTACATGTGCTGTATTGGGTAAAAAGTTCTTAATTTGGACATAAAACTACATAACATAAAGAAAAGGGGAAAAAAACATAGAGGTTTAAAATCTTATATACAGTTAAATTTGCCTCATAGAATCTTCTCCATATGACACTTGCACCAAATTTGGATTAGTTAACGAATGAAAAAGGCGAAGAGAAGTTTGTAGAAAATTACTTAAGTCAGAACAGTGGTAATTACTTACAGAATTTGATTAATTTTTAGTCTTTCTTTGAACTGAACCAATTAGACCTCATCAAGAAGATAAAGGTAATTTGGTCATAAAAATTTGTACCTGACAAATAACAATCCACATTACTGAAGATAGTGTATGCTAGTTTAATGATTAGAAACTCTTGACACTCAGGTGAGCATATAGGCCTATGGATTTTTTGCATATATAAAAGTATTTTTATTTAATATAATTCTTATTGTATATTTAGGAGTCTGTAGTATAGGTCCCTCCCTAATTACTCTCTGGGAAGGGGGACGGTTTCCCAGTACGGGGAGTTCTGATATAAATCTTATCAATCATGTTATGTTCTGAATGGACAGATTTGTGGGATTTTGCCTTGTAAAACAAGGGCTTTGCCATTACATTCACATGAGAGTGGGGTATCATTTTGTTAGCTCAGTGCTCACAGTATCTCTATAGGTTAAAAATTGTTTGCTATTCAAGAATGTCAGATTTAGATCCATTTCTACATTGACATATTAATTAACATGTGGTGATTACCCTCGAACTGTTTGTTTTATACTTGAAGTCTTAATGATGTTAATATTATTTATGCAAAGAAGTAATTTCTTGGGTTGAAATATGCTGTTTGTCAAAAATATAGTTGAAATATGGTTTAGAGTGTATATGGAGCCACAATCAGGAAGTCTGAAGTGTAAGAAATTCTATTATCAGTAGGAATAATTATTTTGGTGACCCTGCGCAGTTAAGGTCTCGTGGCCTTTTGTTTTATTGTAACAGGAAGTTGACTGCATTTCTGACTTACATATTTAAAATTTCTGTAGGATAAAAGGTTAAGTATCTTCTTCAATGTAGAATAGAATGACTGTGTGTAATAGATATAAATATAGAAGTATGGCAGGACATGGCAACACGGCTAATTAAGATCATGTAATCAATTTACAAGTAGATGTACAAGACAATAGTACCAATTTAAGGACAGATAATACCAACAAAATTATGGATGCCTGGATTAATCCTTTCTGGACTAATGATGCAAATATCAAATTTCTCAAATAGTAAGAAATTGAAAAATTTCTTTGATGTTCAAAAGTTTACATTTCTGCAATCATCCCTATAAAATTGATACAGCTTTTCATCTTTTTATGAGACATTATTGTTGAATTTTATGATGAAAAATTAAAATCTTTGTGTTTAAACTTTTTTAGGTGTATATGTATACAAATGACTGAAGTTGTAATTTGCATGATTTTTTAAAGTTTGATTTTATCATCAGAATTCATTTTTTTATTAACAAGAATAATTTTGAATATAATCATTAGTAATAGTATCTGAAAAAATTCCAGGTCATCTGAAAAAAAAATTATGCTGGAATTACTTGACATTTAGAACACTACCAAAAACATTAACTTACAATTAATTTGTCATTATAGTATATATTGTATCAATTTACTGAGCATTTCAAATTGAAATTCGATCTGAATGTTTTTTTTATTTTCAGAGCTGGTGTGTGCGGTCGACGAGCTAAAGCCTGTCAATGGACCGTCATCGTTACACAAACCTGGACTAGAGACATGGTCATGTGCCTGGTCTAACGACAACTCGTACTTTGCTTGGTCCTGTGGAGATAAATTTGTCCGCCTTGTTCCGTGGGACAAACAGAATGGAAGATTGTAGGCAGTATTTTATTTTCATGAAATCTGAATGTATTTCACTTATGGAATAATTTTAGTTGCTATTCATAATTTAGTGCTAGTGAAATATTAATGTGAATGAATGGTCTCTTGTTTTGATATTTTAAAATTTTATGTAAGAAACAATATGTCTTCCTATAGGAATAAGAGGGCACGTCAGTACTCTAGTGGCTCCACCAATGATGCAGATAATGTAGAGATTCTACTGGAGAACGAAGACGAGGATCCAGATTCTGACCAGGAGCAGGAGCGACCTATATTTCTGATTGATTGTAAGGATTACGTGTGGGCGGTGGCTTTTGGGTCTGGCGATTCCGTACGCAAGGATGACAGTCAGTCCTGGAAGAGAGTGAAGATCAACACCAGCTCCATTCTGGCCACAGGGTTACAGACGGGGAGGATCAAACTGTGGGACTGTATGACAGGTCAGCATCATTATAGGAACAGCATGTAAGCTGTATTTCTCTGGGTAAAGTATGCAGGTTGCTTTTATGTGAAAGGTATACAACATCCTGTGATCTTTGGTCTATGAAAAAATCCAAATGATTTTAACAATTCATACAGACAAAGATAAATATTTTCTCTTAGTATTGTTCTTGATAAGATTTTTAGGTAGCACAAGATATATATATTCAGTTTAGTGGGGAACATAGCCCAGTAGTCATAGATGTTTGGTCAGTAACTCAAAGGTTGTGGGTTAAAGCTGAACTATGGACACTTTAGAAATTGTTTTGTCCTTAGTCCATGCATATAAGTTGAAAGGGTGAATTTTATTATTTAATTCAAACAGGTAACCTGCTGTTGGAGTTACTAGATCACAAAGATGTTGTGCGTGGAATCAGTTTTGCTCCAGATGGTAGACTTGTCATGGCATCTGCTGCTAGAGACGGCACAGTGAAGTTATGGGACCTGAATGATGATGGAAACATGTACCAGACTCTGAGAACGGGAGCCAAGTGGAACAACTGCTGTAAATGGTCCCACAACTGTAAATACCTAGCCTGTGTGGGGAGTAATAAAGTGGTATGTTATACACAGGGGGCTACACTCTGATTTACTGTACAGTAGGTTAATACCCCATAAACAATTCATAAACTCATCTCTGTCTGTCTGACCATATATTATATGCCTTGATCCAATCTGATTAAAATCAGATCCTTTGATCTGCTCACATAGATCACTACAAAAGGATCTAATAAAAATATTCATTTAAATTTAGACCAATCAGAGAGATCAAACAACATTCGGGAAAATGAATGTAGAAGTGAAAGTAGCTGTGGAGAAGGTATTGTTTTGTATAAAACAGAGCTAAAAAACGAGGCAAAAAGCAAGTACTTATTATATTTCTGTACAGAAAAGACTGGTCATTCTCTTGACAGGCTACGAAATCTAGGTCACAATTTCCCATTTGTGTGTCATCGGGGATTTTACTGCTGTAAATGAATTCCGAGATACACGTACTTCTAAATTCTTGGAAGTGAACGTTTGATTGGATAATTGAAAGGTCACCAGGAGATGACCCTGAATGGGGTTTCTTCAGATCCTTGTGTAGCAATCTATGCGAGTGCATCAAAAGATCTGATTTTAATCAGATTGTGCCTTGATCGTGACAAATATAGAAAAGTAGATAATAGTTGTGTTTACTAGAGACCAGGTTTATTTTAGGCCAGGTCGTGAATACATGATTCAAAATATTCTAATGACCAGAGATGTGGAAAGACCAAGATTCAAGATGACTTAAGAAGTTAATTTAAGGTAAATGTCACTGCTAGAGAAAAATGTGAATTTTTTGTCCTGGACATTACGTAAGGGTTAATGTACGAGTAGAGCTCCATTCCTTAAAAGTAATGGAGCTGAGGCCCCAAAGGGGCCGAGGCCCATTACTTTTAAGGAATGGAGCGCTACGAGTATATTAACCTGCGTAAAATCTGCCTTTCTAAATGCTTGTATTTAATGTTTGTTAATATATGATAAAGAATATTTCTACGATACACTGTAAATACATGTAATTACATTACATATAAGTAGTATTCGATTCATATATATACTATAGAAATTAAGGCAAGAAAAGTGTACTGAAGTTAGTCTAAGTCAATGTGTTTCAACAGCTTCGATAGCTCAGTGAAATGAGTACCCGACTCCAAAAATTAGGGTACTAGATTCGATTCTCACCATGGGCGCAATAATTTTCTTTATGTGAAAATTAACTTGATAAAATTTTCTAAGTTCTCTCCTCTGTTGAGGCACCGGAAGGAGAATACGAACATATTACAAATTCTGTTTCAATGTAATTTGCAACTCTCCATTTCAACAAAAAAATGGAGCACTTAAACAAAAGAGTGACATCACAAGTGGATATCACTTTGTGAGAAACAAGAATGCTTGAATTTTTAGCTCTGCTGGTCAGAGACCAGAAGAGCTTATGGGATAGTAATGCGTCTGTGGTCCGTCCGTCTGTCTGTCTGTAAACAATTTTTCAAAATGCTACTCCTCCTACAGTTTTGGTCTGATTTCAATATAACTTGGCACACAAGTAGACTACACTAAGATACATAATTCTGTGCAGTTTTTGATTTCGATGAACGGTGTTGCCATGGTTACTAAAAATAGAAATTTCTGTGAAATTCTTTCAAAATGCTACTCCTCCTACAAATTTGGTCCGATTTCAATATAACTTGGCACACAAGTAGACTACACTAAGATACATAATTTTGTGCAACAGTTTTTGATTTCAATGACTGGTGTTGCCATAGTTACTAAAAATAGAAATTTCTGTGAAATTCTTTCAAAATGCTACTCCTCCTACAGTTTTGGTCCGATTTCAGTATAACTTGGCACACAAGTAGACTACACTAAAATACATAATTCTCTGCATCAGTTTTTGCTTTTGATGAATGATGTTGCCATGGTTACTAAAAATAGAAATTTCTGTGAAATTCTTTCAAAATGCTACTCCTCCTACAGTTTTGGTCCGATTTCAATATAACTTGGCACACAAGTAGACTATACTAAGATACATAATTCTGTGCATCGGTTTTTATTTTGATGAGTGGCAAGAATCATTTTTCTATTTATTACTGTTTTAAAGTTTCAAGTCCCAACTGCTACTTTTCTCTTCCTTTGTTTTAAGTATAAACCAGTAGAGCTACAGTCTCGACAGAGATTTGGTTATTTGATAGGAGAGATCCTGTTTATGAAATAGGCATGTTATATGACATTATCTTTTATCATTTTGAAAATTAAGGTTGTTAAACTTTTATTACCTAATTCATCCACATATACTCTGCAAAGAATTGAGGGGTGGGGGTGAGCTTTCTCGCTATAATTTTTTGTTTCTATTACTTCTTGTATAAACTAAAAAATTATACTTGTTTGTTGAGAAGGTAAAAAATTTGAAACCAAAATTATTTTAAAGTTTGGAACCTAGTTAGGTGTAAGTAGCGAAGATTTTTTAAAAATGAAACTCTGTATAGAACTGATATTTTTTAATCAAGTAGATATAAAATATATCAAATTCTTTGTGATGGATAAAACTATATTTACTGTCTTGTATTTTCCTTTGTAGGCAGTGATTTGGAACATGGATGACACCTATAAACCTTTACAGTTGAGAGGTCATTACCATGACATCCTGTCATGTGACTTCTCACCTGACAGTGCCTTATTTGCTACAGCCAGTTATGATACCAGAGTGATTGTGTGGGACCCCTACACTGGGGACATGCTGGTAGAATTAGGGTGAGGGATTTATTTCTGGCTCATTTACTTGGGCATTTGATGTAGAGTATCTTTTTCTATCCTTTAGCAGTACATGTCTTCATTCGCACCTAAGTCTTCAGAAGTTCTGTCTGATTGAAATGAATTTATGTCTAATACAAATATATGTTCCTTTAACAAAAACAAGGCATACTCATTTTCACTACAAATTCTAAGAGACAGAACTTGTACGTTTTCAAAATACTTTTATGCAGTTAATGTTATACAAAACTGTATTAAAGTATGATAAACTAGAACTAGTAAACTACAGTTAAACTTTGGAATCTCTAACTTGGATATCTTCAATACCATGGATTTGTCGAAGTGATGTAGAAGTCCCAACCACATATTCTTTAGGTATTTTACCATCGATATCTTTAATCCTTAGATATCTCGAAGTTTTTCTCAGCCCCATCAGGTTCAAGATAACAAAGCTTGGCTGTCTAAGTAAACTTCAAAAAAAAAAAATGGCAGCTTGTACCAGTACCAACTTTTGTGATTGTTGATCAGAAATTTATTGCATAATTTTGTATGTTGAGCAAATTCAACTATATTTTCTTCTGACTAATTTACTAATTTCTGTTTCAGACACCTCTATCCTCCTCCCCGACCTATTTTTGCTGGCGGAGCCAACGAGCATTATGTACGAGGAGTGTCCTTCAGTAGAAATGGACTACAGTTGTGTTCAGTGGCTGATGATGGGTAAGAGAAACCTTGATGTCAATGGAATTATGGGATGAAATAAATAAACTGTTTTAAACATTTAGACTTATGCACTTTTAAGCAATTTATTCCATCATTTGGAGCCTATTGACTAAAAATGCACCCTTCAATGTATGTAACAGATGTCATCTTGGCAAAAAAATTAAAAAGTATGTTTTTGTAGTCCCTTGAATTTCAAATTATCTTGTGCAAATTTTCTGATAAAGTGTACTTGATTTACGTGAAATCAATCTAATTGTCAAATGTGAAAAAACAAAAAAAAATTGTTGCCTTGCATGAATTACGTATTGACCTTAGTTCCTGTGTTGTTGTCCCCCGCTTTTGCGAAAGCGAGGGGACATTAAATCTCATTCGTCTGTCTGTCTGTCCGTCAGTCTGTCAGTCTGTCCGTCACAAAAACTTTAACCTTGCCCATAACTTTTGATTTAGTGGAGCTATGACTTTCATATTTCACAAGTGTATTCCTTGTGACAAGACCTTTCTTTGGGTACCACCAAATTTGACCTTTTGACCTTGACCTTGGAGTTTGACCCACTTTTACACAAAAATTCCAAACTTTTACTTTGGCCATAACTTTTGAATAGTAGGTACTAGGACTTTCATATTTCACATATGTATTGTTTGTGGCAAAACCTTTCATTGGATAACAACAACCTTGACCTTTTGACCTTGATTTTGGAGATTTACGTACTTATGAAAAAACTTTAACCTTGACCATAACTTTTGAACAGTGAAGACTAGGGCTTTTGTACTTCACATATGTGATCCTTTTGAGAAGACCTTTCATTGGTTACCAATAACTTTTACCCTTTGACCTTGACCTTGGAGTTTTAACTACTTTTTAAAAATACTTAAACTTTGGTCACAACTTTTGAACGGTAGATACTAGCACTTTTATATTTTACATATGTATTCTTTGTGGCAAGTCCTTTCATTGGATATTAACAACTTTGGACTTTTGACCTTGACCTTAAAGATTTATGTACTTATGAAAAAACTTAAACTTTGACCATAAATTTTAAACAGTAAGGGCTAGGGCTTTCATACTTCACATATGTAATCCTTGTGAGAAAACTTTTCATTGGATATCAACAACTTTGACCCTTTGATCTTGACCTTGGAGTTGACCTACTTTTAAAAAACTTTTTACTTTGGCCATAACTTTTTAACGGTCAGGATTAGGGTTTTCATCCTTAAAAAAAATCAACTTCTGAGTTTCTTTCTAAATAAATGACGTATGATAGGATGTTCATATTACACACAATATGTCATAAAAATAACATCTCACCCACAAAGACACCGAAAGCGGGGGACCACAATTCTTTGAATTTGCTTGTTTAGATATCTTCGAGTCTGGAATCTAGACGACCCCTCTGATCCCCAGTACATAGCTGAACATCACAACGCCCTCTGTTGTGCATTCTCTCCTCAGGGTCAACGAATCTCAGTCGGGTGAGTGTTTGTTTTAACAGTGTTGTCCTACATGTTTATAGTCTATAACTTGGTGAGGATATTTCATATACTGTATTTATGTTTATCATATATTGTTAATAAAATTCAAACACTTCTATATTCAATTTACAAATTCCGGGACCAAATTTGCCCCCAAACAATGTAATAACAAATATAGTAAAATGTTTATTTAAATAAAGTCCCCATAACTTTATTCTTCTCTGTGACTTTGAACCACACTTTTTATTACTGTTATAAAAACTAATGCAAAGTTACATATTGGTGATGGCAAAATTGTCTTTATTGAACCTTGACCTTCCTTGTGACCTCAGTCTTTCTAGTGTGTCATTTTGAATGTCTTGATAAATCACTTGAAAAAGTATTGAGCATATACTGTAGATATATTTACATATTCACATTTATTTATTTATTCACATTATGTAGTCTTGAAAATATATTAACAATTATTAATACAAGAATTTGTGACACAATTTTAAGAACATTGACAGTTGTATTGTCTGATCAGGATAAACTTTATAAAGTGGAATATTCATAAAAATACATATACCTCTTCAATATTTTAATGAGATGTGTAAAGACTATCATTGAAAATATCATTCCTCATTACAATGTATTATTTTGTTATTCTGCTCCTTTCTGTAAGAAGGAGGATGCTTATACTTTGTTACATTTCAGAGTACAGTTTTAAGTTCAAACCAGTAGAGCTACGGTCTCATCAGCGTCTTCTGGTTTGTTTTGTATGTTCTTTAGTGAAGATCAATGTTTTTAAGAAAAAAAGGAGTTTACAGGAATAGAAAAAAAATCAATTGTTATTATAAAATACTATAAAAATATCTCCAATACTATGTATCATATTAATCTTTTTCATTCTTAAAAGCATTTAAAATATTTGAACTGGGTATATGTGTTTGTTATAGGGATCGGATGGGCGGTGTAATCTTCTATGCAGTCCCCTCATGTGTTCCATCTTTACAACAGTTGTGCCGAATGACTATCAGAAAGCATGTGATTTCTAAAGAAGTAGACGTCCTCTACCTACCTGTGCGTTTGAAGGAATACCTTAAATATCATGATCTGTGATTCCAATGAGATTCAATCTTACATATGGCAACTTTATCACTGCATTAAATGCTGATGACATTCAGTGAACTATTATGTACATTGTATACATATTACAGTATTACACATTATTTTATATCTGTACATATGAGAGTTTAATCTCTATGATTTGAGTTTAACTATGTATCCTCTGCCATTTTGTTGAAATGTTTTTTAAAAAATTCTGTCAAACTTATGAGCTGTTATGTTGTCTAGGATGGGTGATGGAATGTCATATCTTTGGAGTTTTTCAGCATTTGTTTTGAAATACCATATTTAATATTCCATTTCAAAATATATTCGTTTATAAAATGTTATAGAAGCTTTAATATTTACAAGTGCAAGGTAAAAAACAAATTGCATTTTACCTCTTTAAAAAAATTGCATTAAGTTTCGTAAAAATGAAAACACATTTTTGCATATTTGCTGTTTTTTTCCTGTGAATGTTTATTTTTTTTGTTGTATACAAAGTTGTATATATTAAATGCCTTTTACTGTTGCATGTTCTAATTTTATCTCATTACATGAATACAGCTAAATTATTGCATGCTTAGAAGACACAATTAAACACAATGAAATGAATTGTGTTTAGAAAAAATACCAAATATGTGTACAAAATATACAAGTTTTTAAGGGTACTCTGTGAACTTCATACAGCCTCCTCCTCAACCCATTCCTTATAAGCACACAATGCAGACATACAATGATACATCAAGAGTGCAAAATATACAAGTTTTTAAGGGTACTCTGTGAACTTCATACAGCCCCCTCCTCAACCCATTCCTTATAAGCACACAATGCAGACATACAATGATACATCAAGAAAGCTAAAATGTTTGTGGAGTTTGAAAATGAAGTGAAATCGAAGATGTCAACATTTTTTTTAAATGCTCCAACATAGTGTTGATTGAGATTGGTGTACATGTACATAATTGCCCTTTGGATCTTGTGGATATATGAAGCGATTCTTGTAACTGTTAGAAAAAAATTAAAATCTTGAGTCACACAAGTATGAACCTTCATGGTCTCCATCAATATTCTTATCTCAACTGAGTCAGAATTTTATTCCTTCAAGAAAACAATAGGTGTGAATTTAATGGTTACTACCTCTGTAGGGCCTTCTGGACCAAAACCATCAAAACTATGGCCATGGCCATCTCGTAGGGCCCGCATTTAGCAATGAACTTGAAAATGTAAGGTAGCTGAAAAGGATTTTGACCTTGACCCTTGACATAAAAACTTTGTTTAAGGTCATTGCACACCCATTGACCAGTGGCACTCCGTGAGTGGGGTTTGAGCCACATTGGACCAAGAGGAGAGAAGACAAGGATTTTTCATATAAATTCTGTTATGACCTTAACCTTTGACCTAGAAACATTGTTCAAGGTCATTGCACACCCTTTACGCAAAGACACTCTGTGGGTGAAGTATGAGCCAGATTGGGTCAAGGAGAGAAGAGATATGCTTCGGACAAGAGATCTCTGACAAACTGATCACTATAGGGTGCTTGCAGAGTGGGGCTCTAGTTAAATCTTTTACTCTAGGGCATCAAGAGGTCAAACTATTGACATAGCTATATCAAGGGCCAAAAATTGGAGCATTCTCTCTCAAAAGTGCATATCCACCATATAGGACTATTTCTACCTACGTAGCTATTAATACCTACCTAGGTATTTAAAGCTACCGAAAGTAGCTATTTTTACCTACTTTCTGCTTTACTTGCACTTTGTGGCCAAATGCAGGAATGGCGCAACATGGTGAGCACAAAATTTCTTGATATAGTCACACTGATGATGGATATGACAAAAATTTTGCCAAACAATGATTACTTCGTATATTATCAATTTTGCATAGAAACTAATGTAAAATTGCCGATTCAGGAAGTAATCATTTTTTGGCCAAAATTTTGTCGTATTCATCATAATTGTGACTACATGTATATCAAAAGAAATGGTATTCACCAAGTTGCGCCGTTTGGTTTTTGTGCCGCAAAATGCAGAAGTTAAAAAAAGTAGGTAAAAATAGCTACTTTGGGTAGCTTTAAATACCTAGGTAGCTATTAATAGCTACGTAGGTAGAAAAAGTCTTTGGACTGGACCTGTATAGGTAAATCAAGACGGCATTGAACATAGATCCCAATGCACATTACATCACTGCCGTTACACACAAGGACAAACTAACCCAACCACTCATGTAAGTGACTGTATATCTCCTCAAACTCTGTTGTGAGGGGATAATTACCAACTATAGTAGAGATGATGACCTGAATGGAACCTGCTTTTAGAAAAAGGATATGATGAAAGGGATTGGGGTGATGCTCATTCTATCCATGCCATGAATTTGAGATATTCAGAGGTATATTGTGGAAGCATCAATTTTCATGAGGATCAAATTTCGTTGATTTGTCATCTAAAAAGGTTTTGTCTGCATTAAATTTTGTTTTTTCTAGAGATATCTTGATATGAGAATGCCTATGAAAAAATTGTGTGGGATTTAATTTCGTTGCTAATTGTTAAAAATGAATTCTCGACAAATATTTCTGCTTTTACAGTACCCGTACATGTATTTGAATATTGCATTAACTCTGATGGTTTGCCTTCACCCCTCAGGCCCCTGGTGGGCAGGGGCAATGAAATTCATATTTATGCCCCCTTCGAAGAAGGGGGGGCATATTGCTTTGTAATCCGAGATTCCTCTGACTCTAACCCCCGCTTTTATATTATGACTTGTGCACACAAGTCATAATATAAAAGCGGGGTTAGAGTCAGAGGAATCACGGATTAATTGCTTTGCTGCTGTCTGTCGGTATGTCGGTCAGTCTGTTGGTCCATTTAGTTTCCGTTCATTTTCTTCACACCCGTTGCACATACTGAAATGAAATTTGGTATACAGGTATATCAGAATATCTAGGTCAAGTTCTGTTTTGGGTACCATCGCACCATAATTGACAGAGTTATACCCCTTGGACTTAGAAAAATTCCAATTATTTGCAGTTTCTGTTCATTTTCTTTGGAGAGGTTGCACATATTGAAATGGAATTTAGCACACAGATTAGTCAGATGAATATATAGGTCAATTTATGTTTTGGGTACGATTTCACCATTTTTGACAGAGTTATGCCCCTTGGACTAAGAAAAAATTCCAAATTGTGGGAGAGGGGGGCATAAGTGTTTTACAAAAATCTTGTTTAATTCGTCTCTTTTGCCAATACATTCTGCTTTAGTGAAGCCTTTCTAATAGGACACACACTATGAGATAAATTTCATGTTGTAATGGAAAGAGTGTTGGATTGCACAGTGTAAAAAACATGGAAAACAGTAAAATGGGAAGGAAATTTAAGATCAGAATTCACAGCGTGACAAATTGTACAGGTGTCGGATGAGATGGTTTTCACTGTATATAATGAAACTGGCTGAAATTGGTTTAGCTGATGCATAGAAAGAGCTGAAAATGTTGAAAGGACTACTGATTCCTGGCTCCGAGCCATAAAACTTAGATGAGCTCACTTTTGATCTTGGTCTCTATTTTCCACTCTATACATGTATTCCTTTTGAATATATTTACATGCAAAACCAAGATCAAAAGTGAGCTATCTCAGTTTTATGGTCCTGGAGCCTGGTGTTGCATGATGATGGGGTAAAAATGGATTGCAATATAAAGGTCACCTTTATAACTTGGGCAACTAAAATTAACTGCCCATAATCCTGACCAGAGTGGGACTGGGTCATTTAACTGTAAAGTCTATTACATTTGGCTGTGTACTCTTTTTATTGCCTTTGGCAGAAAGCAACTTCTGATAATTCAAGAACAATGCCAAATGTTCTGCACACATTTTGGAAATTCGTCAATTTCATCAACGTTCACATAGTCAAAATTTTCCACATCTATATACCCTCAATAAGTTTAAGATACGGTGATTTCTTTACAATGCTGAAATTTATTCATCAAGTAAATGACAAATACTAAAACAAATAGCATATTTCAGTGCTTTGTACATACTTTTGACATTAAACTGTCACTTTTTCCAAACACTTAAACAAATACTTAAGGATACAAAAAGATTTCAAAAAATAATTAATAAATCAATATACTTTTAAATCAATACACAATACATGTAAATACTGTACAATCAGATAGCATTTAATAAATATCAACAATTTTTACTGAATATTTTTTATGTACATATTGCCAAATATTTTTCTCCAAAGTGTTAAGTACAAACATTTCAGACATAATATCAAAAGTTCATAAAATTTTAAGTGTGGTTTGAAACTGATTCAAACTTCAGCAGCTTTTATGGAGGACTGCACCCCTGATTTTTGCAGTTTTCAGCCTTAACAGTCCTTTATAATTTCCATGATTTCCTTGGCCACAGCCTTTCCATCATCATCTTTGAGGAAGGACTCGTGTGTTCCATTGTAAAACCTCACATTCACATTTCCAGTGCACCAGTCTTTCAGTCCATAATCCATTGGGATCGGGGTGGGAAGTGGGAGATCAGTCTTAATGCGTAATAAATGGATATCTCCTAAAAGTGTAAAGAAATTTCAGGCATAATATAATTTACTCCAATTCATCAGATACAGAAGAATTTCCATTTGACAGGTTTTTAGCTCACCAACTGAGCTTTTCTAATCACCTGTTGTCTGTCCGCCTGTTTGTAAACTTTTCACATTTTTCATGTTCGGATCTAGAGGGGGGTCGGGGTCTAGAAGATGATTTATAAAGGTTTTTTTCCCCTATATACAGCAAAACTTGTTTAGTAAGAACACTGATATTGCGAATTTACGAATATAGTGAACTTATCTTGGATCCCAAGCTATATAAATTTAATGAATTTCTTATATGGATATAGCGAATTACGGATATAGCGAAGTAATTTCACAGGTTCCAGTGACTTCGTTATAACCGAGTCTTGCTATATCTAAATGTAAAACTTGGATCCCATATTGTAGCCCCGCCCAACCCCTGGGGATTATAGTTTGAACAATTTAGAATCTACACTACAAAAGGATGTTTCCATCCAAGTTTCAGCTTTGCTGGTTCAATGGTTCTTGAGAAGATTTTTAATAACCCTTCCCTATTTTTAGGTGACCTAAGTAAACTCAGGTGACCTATTGCTATCCGTTTTTGTCCGTCGTCGTTCGTCGTGCATTAACATTTGAACATTTTCAGCTTCTTCTCTGAAACCACTGAACCAATTTCAACCAATTTTGGCATATAGCATCTATGGGTGAAGGGAAACAAAAATTGTGAATTTCATGGTCCCTGACTCCCTGGGGGTGGGGCCAAACCACTAAAATTAGTGCAATCTTTAAAAATCTTCTTCTTTACTCCTGGACATCAAGCAGTCAAACTGTTGGTATGATTGTAATCAGCATTGAGTCCTCTACCAAAATTGTGAAATTCATGGCCCCAGGGTCAAGGGTTTTAGTACTAGGGTGGGGCTAAATAGGTTTATAGTGAAAATGCATTATTTCTTTGAAATTCTTTTCTAAACTAACCAAGTGCATAGTTGAGTTGAAAATGACTGCCTCTACCAAAATTGTAAATTTCATGGCCCCAGGGTCAGGGGTTCTAGTGCTAAGGCGGGGCTATATAGATTATATAGTGAAAATGCATAAATTCTTTGAAATTCTTCTTCTCTCTTTGTGGGCATTAAATTAACTAACTAAGTGCATAGTTATGATGAATAAGGCTGCCTCTTCCAAAATTCTGAATCTCATGGCCCCAGGGTCAGGGGTTCTCATGCATTAATTAATCTAAGTAGCTGCAGATCTGTAGCTCTCCGAAAAAAAAAATATATTGATAGACCGGAGAGCTACAGTGCCATCCATTGAAAAAACTGTATATTTACTGCGCACAAAAAAGTGCGCTCGGTTCTTAACTAATTCTTCCAAATTCTTACCTCAATTGCAAATAAGGAAAGATTTCAAAAAATTCCTTTATCTTCTATCGAGTACTCTTGTAGTTGACATCCGAACGAAGCATATTGGACCGAATTATCTTTGAAACCAAAATGGCAGTATAAATAAGCGAAATGTTCCATGATTACAATATCAGGGTCAGGAGGACTATTAACAACAATTATGAGGAGTTTGGTTGTGGAAAAAGCGAAAGAATATGTTAGAAACACACAGTTAGTAATATTTTGAGATTACAGTTTGAAAAAAATTGAGAAATAAATCGAGAACCGAGCGCACTTTTTTGTGCGCAATAAATATACAGTTTTTTCAATGGGTGGCACTGTAGCTCTCCGGTCTATCAATATATTTTTTTCGGAGAGCTACAGACCTGCAGCTATAATCTAAGGCAAATTTACTACCGATATTCGGTGTTTTTCCCCTAGAGAAAATGTCCCAATAAGATCTAATTTTTCCCTTTTGATGAGTAAAATATTCCCCTTACAGTAATAAAAACCTTAAAAATTTCTTTTCCTTCATAAAAACTGAAAATTTTAATTAAAATTTTTCAGTATATGAGAAATATGGTTTTACTTTGTGACATTATGCGCTTTAAATGGTCATAAAAATGCCGAAATTCGATTGCTTCCCAAGCAGGGCTTGCCCTGCACTCCCTCGAGTGGTTCCCAGACCCCAGCTGATTTTCCCAATTTCTCCAGAAGGAGTAGTTTCCCTCAAAACCTAGATTAATCCCTGGTTCTAGTGGCACGGCGGGGCTATATAGATTATATAGTGAAAATGCATAAATTCTTTTTCTCTTTTTGTAGACATTAAATAAACTAACCAAGTGCATAGTTATGTTGAATTAGGCTGCCTCTTCCAAAATTGTTAATTTCATGGCCCTAGGGTCAGGGGTTCTAGTGGCAGGGCGGGGGTATATAGATTATATAGTGAAAATGCATAAATTCTTTGAAATTATTCTTCTCTGCTCCTGAGTATTAAATAAATTATAACCAAGTACATAGTTATGTTGAATAAGGCTGCATCTTCCAAAATTGTGAATTTCATGGCCTCTTGGTTGGGGGTTCTGGTTTTAGGGTGGGGCTCTATTGATAATATGGTGAAAATGCATAAATTCTTTAAAAATCTTCTTTTCTGCACCTGGTTATTAAACCAATGAACTATGTACATAGCTATGAGGAGGAAGGATGCCTCTTTGAGATTTCTGAATTTCAGGGCCCCTGGATCAGGGCTTCTTGTGTTAAAGGGGGGGGGGGCTCTAATGTTTATATAGTGATGAAAATGCATGAATTCTTTGAAAATCTTTTCCTTTGCTCCTGGATAATATGTCAATGATTTTATTACATATTTATGATGAAGAAAGCTGCTTCTGCAAAAATGGTTAATTTCCGGGCCCCTGGGACAGAGTTACTTGGGGGGGGGGGTGTACATAGTCTGAAAATAATTTAATGCTTTGAAATCTGCACTTTAGTATTAATCAACAACATGATGAAATAAAAATTATAAAATTTCCAAAATTTAGAAAGATGTGGCCCCAGGGTCAGTGGTTCCTGTGGGGTGGGGTGCACAACTGATGAAGTGGAAATGCATTTTCTCTTTGTTACTCTGACCTACCTCTGGATATTAAGTAACCGAAGTAAGCATGCTAAGTGTATAGTTATGATAAGCAATGGTGCACCTTTCAAAGTAGTGAATTTCATGGCCTCTGATTTAAACCACGAATCAATTTCAATTGTTGGAAAGTTGTTACATGATACTCAGGTGACCTATAAGGCCAAGGGGCCTCTTGTTGATTATTTCCTCTCATAAAGGGAATATGCCCTTCATTTTATCAAATTAAAATCCTCTTCACCCAGGGATGTTTTGTACAAAGTTTGGTTAAAATTGTACCAGTGGTTCTTGAGAAGTCATTGAAAATGTGAAACCTTTACAGAAGGATGGACAGAAAATGGACACTGGGTGATCAGAAAAGCTCACTTGAGCTTTTAGCTTAGGTGAGCTAAAAACAGAAAGCAAAAGTTCAATTTGTGACATGAGTGACCTAAAAAAAAGAGTTGACATGGAAGGATATGTCGATGGCTATTACAAACCCATAGAAAATATGATGAGTGTAAATCGAAAATAACCATAACACAAATATATATCAGAAACCCTGTCCAGCAATGTCCTGATGTTTTTGAAAGACTTCAAAGAAACAAACCTTGAAATTTTTGCCCCGTATTGCGGTATTTGTAGCCAATCTTTACACTGGTCACAAAATCTTTGGCAGCTTCCCTCCGTTTCAATCGGACCAGTTCTTCTGCTGCATCACTGAAGCCATACATCTTAGGGGGAGTAATAAAACCCTTCATTTTTATTTTCTGTTTGGCAATCAGCCACCTTGATTTCGCTGGATTTGGACTGCAAAGGATATATCACAAAAATATTAACTGAACACGATTTTAATTCAAATTGAATAAAACCAGAAGTCTCTGTCGAGACTGAAGCTCTACTGGTTTGTACTTGTAGCAAAGGAAGAGAAAAGTACTTATAAGCAGATGGGAATTGAAACTTTAAAACAGCAATAAATTATATTACAGTCAAAACTGCCATAGCGACCCACTGTATTAAGCGACTCACTGTCACATGTGACCGTAAAAATTCCCCCAACGCTACCTGTATTAAACGACCACCTGTCTAACGCGACCAACGACCCTGATTTTCCTGACCATTTTTAGTCATTTCAAGCTATTTTACCTGAATTTAACGACTACAAAATTTCCGATTCCTACTTTCAATTTCGGTCGAGCATGCTTTGTTTTTGGTTCAAAACAACTATAGACACTCTTTTATTTCATTTAATAATTATATAATGTGAGTTTAATGAATAAAACAACATTTAAAAATGAATATCTTTTCTACGCTTTGATATTTATTGAATAAACATTAAAATCTAAATCATAAACATCACGTTTTTCTGTCCAGTGATCTAGCGCCATTTTGAAATTAGACGTACGTTCGAGGTCAATCCCGATATCATTTCATGCTATAAGGGCCAAATGGATATTCAGCTATAAAACCTGCCTGTTTAACTTTAATTAAGGTATTCAATGTATAACGAAGGTATTTTGACTGATTTTAAATAATTTTAAACTAGTTAAAAGCACACAGCTAGAAAACGATAAAAGTGAAATAAACCAAATTCACAAGACTGATAACATGTAAGGAGACAGTCATTTTGCACATTTACAGTTTTTGATGAGTTATCTGCCCTTGATGAAAAGAAGAAAATTTTTGATTTCACAAAATTTCTGCGGTAAATAATTTATTTTATTTTATATTTTAATAAAGAGGGAGTTTATGCATATTTTCACCAAGAGATTTCTTTGAAATTCAAATTATTTTTTACAATATCTTATAAAAACATGCACTGCCCATAGACTTCAATGTAAAATTCAAAGTGATATTAATTGGACAATAATCAAAATTTTGTAAATTCCTTTGGTGGAGCAATTTCATTTGATTATATCTTCAAATTACTACCATGATTAAAAATATTGGACCGTTCATATATTAGGTATAAAATATGGTCGTTATACATTGAAACATCAGACCAAAACTGTAGGAGGAGTAGCTTTTTGAAAGAATTTCACAGAAATACCTTAACAAGTAACCAAATCATAGATGTTTATTTAAGTGCATTGTGTCACCAATGGATATGTAAACACAGGCTAGTTAGCATCCACACCATGTGATAATTGAAGTGATTTTTTTAAAAATACCTGGTCAAAAACAGGCAATTAGACACGGTAGTTCAGTAATGAAAAAAAAAATTAATTAGGTTAAATAAGTATTTCAGTCATAAATATAATTTAATTTGATACCAAGTGCATAACAAAAATCATGATACAGTTTTAATTCTTAGTAATATGCAAAACATACGAAGTTATGTATAGGCTATCATGTAATAAAAAAACTTATAAGGGAAAAAAAACCTCTTCAGCTTTTTTATACTGTATAAAAAAATATTAATATTTTCGGATGTTCACAATATTTAACCATTTTTCAAATGACTTATGTGCAGATCAAGATTTTTTTAAATTTCTTAACAGGACATTTGTAAAAGCATTTTGGAGTTGAGCAGTACCTATTAAAAAGTGGAAATAAACATAAGGTGTTGTAAAATACATTCAACATACACGTGATATTTTCAGCAGTGTATATTTGAACACTTCGGAAAATATTAAGCAACCTGTATTAAGAGACCACCTGTCATATGTGACCTTTTTTCCTTTCTCCGGTGGAAGGTCTCTTAATACAGGTTTGACTGTACATTATATCATAATCAGACTAAAACTGTATTTGGAATAGCATTTTAAGAGTATTTAACTGAAATTTCTATTTTTAGTAACCATGGCAACACCGTTCATTGAAGTCAAAAACTGATATATAGAATTATGTATCTTAGTGTAGTCTACTTGTGTGCCAAGTTATATTGACATCAGACCAAAACTGTAGGAGGAGTAGCTTTTTGAAAGAATTTCACAGAAATTTCTATTTTTAGTAAGTGCGGCAACACCGTTCATCGAAATCAAAAACCGATACATAGAATTATGTATCTTAGTGTAGTCTACTTGTGTACCAAGTCATATTGAAATCAGACTAAAGCTGTAGGAGGAGTAGCATTTTGAAAGAATTTCACAGAAATTTCTATTTTTAATAACCGCGGCAACATCATTCATCGAAATCAAAAACCGATACATAGAATTATGTATCTTAGTGTAGTCTACTTGTGTACCAAGTCATATTGAAATCAGACCAAAGCTGTAGGAGTAGTAGCATTTTGAAAGAATTTCACAGAAATTTCTATTTTTAGTAACCGCGGCAACACCATTCATTGGAATCAAAAACCGATAAACAGCATTATGTATCTTAGTGTAGTCTACTTGTGTGCCAAGTTATACTGAAATCAGACCAAAACTGTAGGAGGAGTAGCATTTTGAAAGAATTTCACAGAAATTTCTATTTTTAGTAACCGCGGCAACACAGTTCATCGGAATCAAAAACCGATACATATATATTATTATAACAGTAACTTGATCCGAAGGGTCGTATCACGCCATCATTTGTTTTGTTTAAAAACTGAATGAACATTCAGAATTATTGCTTCTAGGCTATTTCTGATTTTCAGCAAAGATCATTCTTCAAAAGGCTATAAGTAAAGCAGCCAATCCAAGCAAAATGATGAGCATGAAAAATATTTGAATTTGTACAATTTATGTCAAACTTAAGGTGTTTCTGTCTTCTTCCTTGCTGTTGATACGCGAAGCGTCGAGGTACCTGATTTCATTTAAGGCTTATAATATATCATCATATTACATGAAAGATATCGAACAAGACGTGATACGGCTTAACATGTATGGACAAGTTACTGTTATAATGATAAATTTATTATATACCCCCTTATAACTAGCTAAATGTAGCAGAGTAAAACTTTAAAGATCAATTGTATAATATATTGTATAATATTTATCCATAAAACAAAGCATAATGACAAGGGACTTTTTAACGCGCAAGAAAAATAACGTCATGTTTTTGCGTACTACGTCATCAGTTTCAGAGAGTGGTGATATGGATTCAGAAAACCACAGTGTGGTGATCCGGAAAATCGGATCAAACTCTGTAAAATTAACAGTAACAAAAACAAGGAAATTGATGGGCATATAATAAACAGAATTATGTATCTTAGTGTAGTCTACTTGTGTGCCAAGTTATATTGAAATCAGTAGAGCTAAAAATTCAGTGGTTGAGTTAAGAAACTGTACGGTAATTTCTTAAATCCCTGAGGATATGTTGCTCATGAAAACTGTAAGAATTAGAGAATTGATATTCTCTAACATACTAGTATTGCTCAGCACAATGATTTTTGTGATAAAAATATCAAGAGGCTGCAGTCATAAATAGGTTTCCAAATTATGCAACTTTAAACAAAGGAAACACCATTTTTCAAATCAAAAACAGATTTATGCATGTTATTTTAGTATATTTATGCAAGTGTATTAATTAGAAGCATATATTGAAAATAAACCAAAACACTGAAAGAGGAGTGGCATTTTGATTGATTGTATATATATGATGTAACATCCCTCTCAAAAATTTTTCACTCATATGGAGACTCCACCATTTGCCGGTGGATAGCTGCAAATTTTTTCCTTTACTTGGCACTTAGAGCCATTGAGCAGGGAGGGATCTTTTTCGTGCCAGCACCTACTGCGACACAGGACATTAATTTATACGGTCTCATTGGAAGGACCAGTCTCCACATCCCAAAGTGGGATAGTGGCTTATTGAAAAATTATTTCAAAACAGACAGACATACAGCTAGATAGATGGGCACCTTGCCTTCACATAAACTTATCTGTTTTTTGACCATGGAGCATTACATGTTCAGAGTTTAAAAATGGTCAACTCATGATGGATGAAAACAGATACCAGATATCATTGAGATGGTGGCCATCTCAAAGGGCCCCGCTTTCAACAATGAACATGAAAATGTAAGGTAGTTTAAAAGGGTTTATTTTGAAGAGGAACATTTGTGTACTACAGTAAAAGTCATTTTGTACGACTTCACGGATATTGCGAATTTACAGACATATATCGAAGTTATCTTGTATCCCCAGTTATATAAATTTACTGGAATTAAGGGGAAAAAAATTATGCACCAAACAAAGATTTTAAACAGAGAGGCTAATTCTGACCATGACCTAGAAACTTTGACCAAGGTCACTGCATATCCATTGACCAGTGGCACTCTGTGAGTGAAGTATGAGCCAGAGAGAGAAGATATGCTCGGAACATGGATTTTTCAAATAATTCTGCTATGGCCTTGAACTTTGACCTAGAAACATGGTTCAAAGTCGCTGCACACCAGTTACCCAAAGGCACTCTGTGGGTGAAGTATGAGCCAGACTGGGCCAAGGAGAGAGAAGATATGCTCCAGACAAGAAATTTTTCATATAATTCTTCTATGACCTTGACCTTTGACCTAGAAACATGGCTCAAGGTCACTGCACACCGGTTACCCAAAGGCACTCTGTGGGTGAAGTATGAGCCAGACTGGGCCAAGGAGAGAGAAGATATGCTCCAGACAAGAGATTTCAGACGGACGGACAGACTGATCACTATAGGGCGCCCAAGTGGGGCCCTAATAAGTCACAAGTGATTCAAGTGTGCTAAAAATGTTTATGAAGCTACTGTATCATTCTTATGTTGAGATCACAATGTATAATGTTGCTATACCTGACAATAACACGTCCAAACGTCATATCTAAGATCAGATCAATGCGCTCTGGTAAAGTCTTCAAGGAGAGCAGGATCTTCAGAATCAGTTTAGTACTGGGAACAGCTGCATACATCTGCAGAAAGTTTATAAGAGCACCACACTCCAGATAGTCCATTTCCTGTAGTCCAAAATAAAGCTCTTTTGTCAATTCAGATTTACATGTTTGAACTATATTCCCTACTCCAATGGACCATGTTTTGAACAATTAAGAGCCTACACTACCTAAGGAAGCTTCCATAGAAGCTTTTCTGGTCCAATGGTTCTTGAGAAAGACTTTTAAATTACTCTGCACTATTTTTGCTTTTTCTTGATTATCTCCCCTTGAAAAAAGGCTTGGACCTATTTTTTACAACATAGAATTCCCTTAATTAAAATTGGCTCAGTGGTCCTTTAGAAGTTGAAATTGCCAAAAAGTAAACAGAGGGACAGAAGATGGATAGACAAGTGATCAGAAATTTAGTATGCAACACTCTTTGGGTTTTTGCTTGCCTTTGCTTTGATACAGAATATTCTTTAGGAGAAAATGAAAATGACATGAGCACCCTATTGGTCCCACATCTGTCCTGTTTGGGGTCATTCACTCACCTCTTCTTTTGAAGCTGCCTGAACTCCATGGCTGAACTGATTGTGAAAATAAGCTGGACCCCCATCAAGAAGAATCAAACATCCTACCTAAAAATGCAAATTCACCATGGTCAGCCTCAAACTTTTTCTCAAATAAAATATTCCTAACCAGTCTTCATTGAGATAATATTCATTAACTGAAACTCACTTTTGACCCTTGTTCCTGAAACTGAATGGCCATCTCTATGGCAATGAATGACCCAAATGAATAACCAATCAGAAAGTAAGGACCATTTTCTTGATACATCTGCACTGCATTCTTGTAATAGCTGCAAAGTATATGGAAAACATTTCTGTTCAATACCCCTATTACACCAAACAAATATCATAAGTCACAATTTCTAAAAGTGATACAGTATTGATGATCAAAAACTATATACAGTCCCTTAATCTTGAACTCGGAGGTATTGAGAAAAATTGTCCAGATATCTGAGGATTCAAGATATTGGTGGTCAAGACACAATGTTCAACTGTATCAGATCCTTTTTCCAGAGTTAGATTTTATTAACCAGGACACAATTCTTGACCATTCTAAATTTGCTAGAATTCTACCATAATCAGCTGTATAATCATTCCACTCATAATTTATATCAATTTAAAAAAGAAAAAAAGATGCTTGTTTTGAGCAAGAGAGAGAAAAAAAATTAATTTTGAAGTTAAGTTTTGAAAATGTGGCAAATTTAGTGCATTGTTATTGTGATTGTGTCTCAAAGAAACAAATTCACTGTAAAGTGACTGTTAGGCTATGTATCCTGTGCTTTAAAAATAAATCCAATGATGTGTCTATCAAATATTTACTAGAAAATTATTAGTTGTAAATTAATTAGAAGAATTACACGCTTTGTTTGGACTTTCAGTAAGGCGTATTTACACAGCTTCCCTTCACTGTTGAAATACATTGTATACATATGATACAAATGCGGCCAAATGTCAACTGGTGTAGCAAATAGCCAATTATAAGTTCTCTCATGGCACAGAGGTGGGTCATAAGTCGTCAACAACAATTTTAAGTTCCTATGTTATTAATTTCGTAACCAATGAGAATCATAGTATTCTCCATTACGTAAGCTAGCCACACTGAAAGTCCAAAGATAGGGTAAAATACTCCTAGTACATACAACCTGAGAAACAGAGACATATTACCTAGCCACACTGGGAATAGAATCTTGCGGGGTAATATGTGTTCTTTGTATCCCATAACATCGGTACTGAAGTAAACTCCCTAAGGGTTTCAGCAGTTTTAGCTTACCTTATAAAACAAAACTAAAAGCTAAATATATTTATGGCAATCTTGAAAATTAAAGTATCAGGCCAAATGTAGGTCACTAGATTCAAGATCAATTGATATTTAATCCAAATAGATCTTAATTATGCTTACTTTGACCTGTTTAATTTTTCTTTTACTTTTTATTAGTTACAACATATAGGTCAGCATCTGCAGCATATATCTAGTAAAGTGCATCATGGAAAGTATCATCCATGGAAGTTTGTTCCAGATACAGTTCATACCGTTACATGAGTATACATCTGTTCCAAAAACCATTAATTTGGTCATTTCATCCACACAAGTGGGTAAAAAGCAGCAATGAATAAAATCACACTGTTTACATCTCACCAATGCATATATATCTAGTTCTGATAGGATTGGAATTAATTAGGAATAAACTTGCCGCATGAACTTTAACTTGGGATGCCACTAATATGGGTACAGCATCAGCTCAATGTCATCAGGGTGTGCTACATTTTGTACTAAACTACATCTACTTCTAAATCACTGCATATCACAGACAGTTCATGTATCAAGTGTACACATACATACCAGTGATAGGATGAACACAAAACATTGCTGGCTGTTTTTCCTCCTCATTGAGAGGCACAATGGTAGGTTCATTGGTTTGTGGGGTCAGGAGTGTTTTAAGAGCTGGGGTTAGGGCTAGAGGTGTTGGTGAGGGATATATAATGAGGCTCATCTTGGTCCCTTTCTTGAAGCTGGAAATTGCTGAAGGAATAGTTAACCTAGGAATAGTTAACTGAGCCATTTTTCCTGTGGTCCTAAAAAAAGAAATAAAGTTTGATTTACGAATGGAAATATTCATCAGTTCATGATCAATCACAAAAGTTTTGTATCCTGACTTCATGCAGATGTCTGCCACTTTTTAATTTGGACTAACAGTAATTATTACAATTATAATCTTGCTGTTTTTTATCTTTTTTCCTTATAAATGCTCTTTAATAAATTCTAAAATAATTATTTATGTATTTTTGTGTATGCTGCTTCAACAATGTTCAATTTAATCTTTGATCAGTTTTAAATCTCGATCATTAGCCATTTGCTAAAAGATATCAAAATTAGAAATATGGTTTTAGGACAGCAATTGAAGCTCAACCTGAGGTACATGTACCTCTGTATTGTTTGTTTCTTTGGTTTGATCTGAATAGGAACAATCCAAGTCTGCCGACATTAAAAATAAACGCAAAAGACAATTGTTTGATAAAAAGATGAGACAATGAGTTAATATTAAAATTTTACTCTTTCAAAGAAGGAGGCATCAGATTCTTTCTCTGACCCACAGCCAATCCATGCACAGGAGTGGAGGTTATGACTTTTGAACCTGTGTCAGTCTCATCTGTGATAGTGATAATGGGTGTTGGAAGGAAAGGAGTGACACACTCTTCTGTTGAGGAGTTAAATACTTCGTCGTAATCCTGGAGACTGACCTCTGGCAGATAAATAAGCTTGATTTCATCCCGTGCCTCAGATGTGGGGAGTTTAGGGGTAGGTACCTGGGCAATATTCAGTGGATTAAAGCTGTCAAACTGGTTCTCTTTGTCTGAGCTATCATTTGCAAGAAGTAAGAAGTCCTACAAAGAAGGAATTATTTCTCATTGACAGATTGCAGAGTTGGAAATCTAATATACTGCCTGGTTTTTCTAAAGTTAAAGAACTTAGATATGTATATGAAATCACTATTTTTTTGGAATCGGGGTTAAATGTGTTTGTGGTATGATTGATTGTATGTTATTTAAAGTCCCTCTTGAGAAATTTTCACTCATATGGAGATGCCACCACTTGCCGGTGGAGAGCTACAAGTTTTGTCCTATACCCGGCACTCAGGGCCATTGAGCAGTGAGGAATCTTTTTCGTGCCAGCACCTACTGCGGCACCGGAAATTTATACAGTCTGGAAGTCCCACATTTGGATTCGAACCCGCGACGGAAGGATTGACTCCTTACTTCATGAGTCTAGAGCAGACGCTCTAACCACTGTGCCACTGCTTGTGGTATGAAGAGAACCATCAATTTATATCCTACATAATATGTTAAAATTTTGTATTACAGTATAGTGTTTTTCCCATGAAATCCAATCATCTCAAAATCGTAATTTTTCCTTACATCCAGAATAATTTTACTCCTCAAAAATTATTGATTTTACAGTATTCAACAATGGAGAAATATTTTTTGCCTATGTATATATAATATATTTTTTTTAATGATTTACTTTGGGTTTTGTTGTAATTGCAGTCTGTAACCTATGCATGGCAATGGCATCAGCTTCCATCATCTCCGCTATACCCTGGTTACTCAGATTCACAATGGGATCCTCAATAATTGACAGAACTTGACTCAACTCCACAGGGCGGGTGAAATTAGAACGATCTGCCAAAACATACTTCAGTCCTTGGACCTCCGGAAAACCCTCTCTGGACATCTAAATACAAAAAAAAAATTTTGAATTAAAGACTTCTCGTATCATCATATACTGGTCGATTTGCTCTTTTTTCCTTGTTTTCTAACATTATATTTGATTTATTGCATTAATATATCATTGGCAATTCAGAATAAAAGAAATAAAAAAAAAAGAACCTCTGCCACTGATCCATTTTGCATGTTGTATAAAAATAGCTGTATTTCCTGTGGACTTTTCTGTATGTAGCTGTTGACGGCCTTGGAGAGGTCAGGGACAATAAGGGAGCAGTCCTTGGTGAGGGTCACCTCCTCCCGGGGGCTGGGCAGGGTACAGCAGATCAACTTACCATTGGCTGATGTCAGATTAATCGCTGACTGGAAATCTGAAATGTTAACAAACACAACATCTTTTAAATCTTGCTATATTGAAATTGTTCATTACCTGCAGTTATGAATAGATTTCAATGAATAAATTAAAAGTACAGTTAGAGCATTTCTTATATCTGCAACATCATTTTACTTTGTAATTTTTTAATTCAACAAATAATATACAGCAAAACTCGTTTAATATGAACACGGATATTGCGAATTTACGGATATAGCGAAGTTATCTTGGATACCCAGCTATGTAAATTTAACTAATTCCTTATACAGATATAACGAATTACGGATATAGCTAAGTAATTTTACAGGTCCCAGTGACTTTGTTATAACCGAGTTTTACTGTATTGGGTTGACATTTAAAACAAGATGTGTTTGTGAAACACTATGCGTCCGGCAGCAACACAGTTCGAAAACCGCTATTTTTAGTATATAGGTCACAGTCAAGGTCACAAGGTCATTGACCTTGGTGTCATTTGAAAGAACTTGAGTAGTGGAGTATGCATACCAAATATGAAGTCTCTATCTTTTATGTTCAAAAGTTATGGCGAAGGTTAAAGTTTGCCGAGAAAAAAAGCTATTTTTAGCATATATGTCACAGTCAAGGTCACAAGGTCATTGAACTTGGTGTCATATAAAAGAGCTTCATTAGTGGAGTATGCATACCAAATATGAAGTCTCCATCTTTCATGGTTCAAAAGTTATGGCGAAGGTTAAAGTTTGCAGACAAACAGACAGGACAAAAACAATATACGCCTCATAACAATCCGGGCGCATAGATATTTATAAACTAGTCACACAATCAAATACAACATAAGAAGAAAAATTCAAAAGAGCGCATTCATAATTTTTAAGTTTGAGCCTGATTTAGGAGAAAACCTTTGTATGACTACAACAAAGCCTCTCGTTAATAAAGATTTGGTTTTCCTCCTTATATGTCTTTTATCAGGTCTGGACAATTTCCAAATATGGAAGTCAAGAACGATAACCGTGAATTGCTATAAATACACAGATAAAACAAGGTGCTAATCCTCCAGACCAATCAGATAACGGCATTCAGGCAAACCCATCAGAGAATAAATAAAACAGGTGGTTTTAAACTTTTCTGCTCAAAAGATTTTTTTAAAACAAACTTTTTGTAAACTTTATGCATATTTAGGAATGAAACAGCATAAATGACAGTTCTACCATGAACAAACACAACTTGAAAGGTTAGAATAAATTCTAAGTTTGATTAAAAATCTTTAAATACGAGGTAGCTATCTCGAAAGTTTAACTTGTGTTAAGAAAGGATCACTTCATTATAAATAGGGATCTGACCTATAGGACCGAGCTTGATTTTTTTCTCTACAAAAAGCTTGTTGATTTCCGTTCCGATTAATGACATTAGGCCGAATACATATAACAGTTTGTTTTTTCTAAAATCTTTATTTCAGTGAGTAAAGGTAGGAGTAACCCTTTCATTGATTTTCTGAGTTTGTTATCTCCAAATATAATAATTGCTATTTGTCTTTACTCCTCATTGTGCATAATGGTAATGTTTACTGTCTCTGAAATTCTATTCTTTATGTCTGGGCTATTTATTCATGGATATAATAAAACATGTCATTAAAATGAAATCCAAGGAAGTATAGTTACTCATATATGTAGCCAAAATTAATGTGATTAAATTCTAAGGAATATATACAATTATAATTCATCGCAGCTCAATGCTGCCAAGAATACCTGTATTGAGTAACACAAAGTGAGTTATTCTTGTCCTCGTAGAAAGTGTGCTCATACTGAGGATTGTTCCGCCTGACTGACAACTGTACACTGGATTGTCTCTTTTATTGTCTCTAATATCAAGAATGGGCATGCATAAAGGATAGATAATTGAAGGAAAATACACAAGTCTATAAAAAAAAACTTAAAATAGTATTTGAAAAGGCGAAATTTAAAACTTTGAAAGTGTGGTATCAGGTGGATTCGATCCCCCGACTTTAAAAAGAAAGTTTCCATGGTGTAAAAGTCATCGCATATATCAATTGAGCTAGTCTGACTATAGGAATAATAGGTATAAATTTGAAGCAGATTAACAAAATCAGGTTTCCTTATTTTTTGTAGGTTTTTTGAGAATTTCGACCCTGGGCAGGGGTGCCCCTAAAAAAAATCCTACATTAAATTATTCCTTATATCCTAACCTATCAAAATATCACAATTTTATTTAGGGGCAGGCCTGCCCAGAAGGACTTGTAGGCCAAAATTCATGCAAAAATCAACGCTTTAACGGACAAAATGGTGTTTCGGCCAACTTTGGAGGTCTATTGTAAAGTTGTAAATAATAAATTTTAGGTATAAAATACAAATTTGAAAAATTTTGACATACATGTATATGCTATAGAAAACAACAAATTAAGATTAATACAATGTATTGAAATGTCACTTTTTCTGGGAAATTGTTTTCTCCTATAGGTCAATTCTTTTGTCAAAGTGAATACATCCTTTGATATAAATATGGCAGATTTTCAGTTTTTAGAGCCTGGTATGAGAATTAATGTTTTCAGATGGGAATGTTTTTAATATTTTAATTATTTCCTGAGTGGTTATTACAAAATTGTTCTGTTTCTTGTATGCATGGTAAGTTATGGTGAAAAAGCATTAATCTACATTCACTTTTCTCGACGTTTTACACGTTTTCCTTGTGTCCATTTAAAGTGTTTATAACACTGTATTCAGCGCTCATGTAACCCGTGATATTTTATAACTTCATGTAGTCTATACGATGAAACATGTATGCAATTTACCTATACCTATGAAAACTACGCAATATCGATGAAAATTGGACAGCTAAACAAAATTACTGTTACCAACATGGATTATGTTATGCAATTGTTATAATTATAATTGATAATAAGTTGACGGACTGATCTATTCCCTCGTAAACAAACGCACTGTTACATGCATTTATTAAATTTTTTTTCAAAATGAAATTGTTAAGTTTGTTCACGGCAAATATATGTGGAATACCTTATTCTTCCAAACCTGTCATCTTACTTCTAAAGATTTTTTGTCAAAAAAATCTTTTTTGAAGAAAAAACAAAAGCATGCATTCTCTTTTTGTTCCTTTGAAATATGTTTTGGGGTGTGAAAAAATACTGCTGACTGATTGGATAGAAAAATATTTACGTGTGTATGATATACATTTATACCAATTTTCAGTTATCGTTCTTGACTTCCATATTTGGAAATCATCCAGACCTGTTTATGTACCAGGGTTGTTGATTCTTAGACTAGTACTTCACAAGGTCATCTGAATATGAGCTGACAAACAATTTCAAAACAAAGCAAAGATTCATTAACCTTCCCTCCCCCTTCTGTAAATCTGATAAAAACCTGAACTGGTAAACTTGATGACAACATCGCAGCCTTCCCCTTGTGTTAGGGTCTTGATGTTTTGTTCTAACCTTTCTCCAGCCACTACCCTGACATAGGGGAACAGATTGCTGATGACATTACGGATCTCCGCATCAAAACTGGAGGTAAATATACTGACCTCCAGTTCATTGGCTATTGCCATCAAGTATATACACAGGGTATCTGAAAGACAAAGTGTAAAAAGCAAGTATGAAAACATATAAATGAAAACAAACAAGAGGCCCAAGGGCCTTGAATCGCTCTTCTGATAAATATATATCTATCCTAAACAGGTGGTAACCCAAGATGCATCAACTGACAAAGTTTGATGATTCTTAGCCAGTTAGGGCTAAAGATATTTAAATGTAACTATAAAATACTACAAGTAGGTCATGGTGACCTACTTTTTGATTGAAATTTTCTGAGGACACAAGATGCATTAATTGACAAAGAATGATGATTCTAAGCCAATAAGTACTTGAGATATTCAAAAGTGGGTCACAGTGACCTACTAACTGGTCAACATTCTTCGACAACGCAAGGTGCATAAACTGACAAAGTTTGACAATTCTAAGCCAATAAGTACCCTAGAATACTTAAATATAGCCATAAATGTCACAAGTAGGTCACTATGACCTATATTTTGAACATCATTCACCGAGAACCCAAGATGCATCAAATAACAAAGTTTGATGATTTTAAACCAATAAGTACACGAAAATACCTAAATATAACAATAAAATGACAAAAGTAGGTCACCGTGACCTACTTTTTGACCTACTTTTTGGTCGACATTCTCTGAAAACCCAAGATGCATCTACTGACAAAGTTTGATGATTCTAAGCCAATCAGTACCTCAGATATTCAAAAGTGGGTCACCGTGACCTACTTTTTGGACAACATGCTCCGAAAACCTAAGATGCACCAAATGACAAAATTTGATGATTCTAAACCAATTAGTACCTGAGATACATAAAACTAGTCATAAAATGTCAAAAGTAGGTCACTGTGACCTACTTTTTAGTCCATGCTTGCATCTACTGACAAAGTTTGATGATTCCTAGCCAATAAGTACCTGAGATACTAAAATATAGCCATAAAATGTCAAAAGTAGGTCACTGTGACCTACTTTTTGGTCCTTAATCTCTGAAAACCCAAGATGCATCAACTGACAAATTTTAATGATTCTAAGCCAATTAGTACCCAAGATACTTAAATCTAGCCATAAAATGTCGAAAGTAGGTCACAGTGACCTACTTTTTGGTCGACATTTTCTGAAGACCAAAGATGCATCAACTGACAAAATTTGATGATCATAGGTCAAATAGTATTCAAAATATGCCTTTTAAACAATCTGAAAACAAATGTCTGCAAAGTTCAAAAAGAAGGTCACAGTGACCTACTTTTTGATAAATATGTATTAAGGCCTCTAGATGCATCAACTTACAAGATTTGGTGATTCTAAACCTCTCGGTGTCTGAAATAATGGGATTAAATGTTTTAGAAAAGATTAGCCATAAAAATTAAAAAGTAGGTCACGATGACCTACTTTTAAGTTGATGTTGTTCGTGGACCCAAGATGCACCAACTGACAAAGTTTTATGATCATAGGCCTTAAAGTGTCCAAAATATGCCTCCAAATCAATTTGAAAACAAAACCCCGTAAAATTTTAAAAGTAGGTCACCGTGACCTACTTTGTATTAACATGATGTCAAGTCCTGAGATGCATCAACTTACAAGAATTGATGATCCTAATCTTTATAGTAAGCAAAATATCAACGTTTTTAATAAGTGTAAATTTTGGTCAACTTTGAAGTGACCTTGAGACCACGCCCTTTGCCCCAGGGTCATGCCTTGAACAATTTTTAATCTTCAACATATCCTGACCCTTGTATGCAAGTTTGGTGAAAATCTGCCTGGTGGTTCTGGAGAAGATTTTTTAGCAACCAGTACTTTTGGTTTTATTTTCATGATTATCTCCCCTTGTTTTAGGGTTCCACCCCTAATTTTAATATAAGTGGTAGCCCTTGGGCTAAGGATACCCTGTGACAAATTTGACAATAATTGGACAAGGGGTTCTTGAGTTATGGCCCATATTCTAAAAAGTTAACGCACACAGCACGACGCACACCGCACAAATGGCCATAGCATTAGCTCTTTGAGCCTTTGGCTCAGAAGAGCTAAAAATAGCTGGTGGCGGAGTTAATAGTGTGAAATATACATTACCAACAGGAGGCATTGTTTTGAACATTACCAATAGGAGGCATTATAAGCAGGGTCTGGTTCTCTTTGATTTTGGCCACATCCAGCAGTAGGTGGACTGCCAGTATGTATGGAATCAGCTGCTCCAGATCTTCTGGGCTCCAGCCCATACTGAGGGGGAACTCCTGCCCCACTATCTCATCATCTGTTAAGTTGTAAAGAAAATTTTTTCAAACAAACCCAAAATCGAGTTGAAAGCACATATCAAACTATTCAGCATGGCATATCTTCTGAAGATGAGTTGATGTAATGAAACTTTTTCTAAAAGTTATAAATCACAGGTCATTACTCTCTTTTAGTGTTTAAGAAAGGATTTATATAATTATTGATTTATGAGCTATATCCTTTCATGATTCTCAACAAGAAATGAATGGAATTCTTTCCTTTCATTATTCAAGATTTTATTTCATAACCATATCTCATGAAATTGCTAAGTTCCCAAGAACAGAACATGACCTAAGTACAGTATAATTGTAGAGATTGTTGAGACTTACCTGTAATTGAGATAATTCCATTGACTTCTTCCTTTGCGTTTTCTCCCTGATACATCAACACTCTGTGGTTACCAGGGGCAACTGATTCAATGGTGTACAGCATCAGCAGACTCACTTTGGAATTCTCCATTCCGTTTAACTTGACAGCTTTCTCCCTGTCCTTATTCCTCGACTGACTGACCTTAGTGTGTAAAACCAGATCACCTGCCTTACAGAGTCCTGGAAATAAACATTTCTATAGAAGGTCATACTCAACAGAACAAAATCATGCTTATAAATGACAATGGGTGTAACAGGAAAGAAGTAAAGGTACTGCTAGATTGGGAATCAAACCATGGATTTCTGTATCTCTAGTCAAGGGTTCTACTAACAGTTTTACAGTTAATGTACAACTAATGAATTAATTCTTACAAAATTTCCACATTCTTTGTCAAAAATTATTTATGTTATTTATATTCTGATAAAATATTCAATTAAAATATACTCACCGTCAATAGAAACGCAACACTCTAATTTAAGGGGTGAAAATAATATACGGGATATAACTATGTACCAAAAAAGTTAGGACGTCTTCACTCCAAATCAGTTATTTAACGGTTGAATGATTTTCATTCCATTACCGGAAGTTGATTTTTAGCCCCCTGAACAGAAATCAAAAATTAGCATTTTTAATAAAATTATTGACAATATTTAGGGTTTTCAAGGTTTTTTACCTGTTAATCATAAGTCTTGTACTAAAAGTTCGGAAAAATATCCTTCTTTCTTTTCCGGATGTGATGCCTGTATTTCCTCAAAGTAACTGAGAGCACACATTTTCATTGCTAATGTTGGAAATTCTCAAAATAAAGAAAAGCGAGAGCTACAGATGCAAATATACACTACATAACGACTTTTCGGGCCCATGTCTTTCAAAAGCATGAATGACAGTTCCTTGACCGGAAGTCCAAGGGTTACTACACTACGCCAAGTTAGAGAAAATTCGACTTCAGTATCTGAAAAACAGGCATTTAAAGATGCACAAAAATATTTATTTCGCTCAGGTTAAGACATTGATAAACCTACTGCATAGTAGGATTCGGGCTGTGTTTGTTGTACCTGGCGGACTAGGACGTTTTAATTGAATGATCGGAAGGTGGGATGTTTTAGAGTTATGTGTTACTTTATAAGGTTTAAAGATAAGATTAAAAATGAATACAGAAATGTAAAAAGTAAATTTACAAAACAATGATACTTCATTTAAACTTTAAATGTTATCTTTAGACCTTAGAAAGTAACACATAACTTTTAAAACATCCACCCTTCACGACCATTCAATTAAAACATCTTCCGCCAGGTACAACAAACACAGCCCGAATTCTACCATGCAGTAGGTTTATGTGTGCTTAACCTAAACTGAAATAAATATTTTTGTGCATCTTTAAATGCCTGTTTTTCAGATACTGAGGTCTTTTCTCTAACTTGGCAGTGTAAACCCTTGCTTCCTTACAATTGTCACAATGCTTTTGAAAGACAAAAAACATTATGTAGTGTTTATTTGCATCTGTAGCTCTTGCTTTTCTTCATTTTGAGAATTTCCAACATTAACAACGAAAATGCGTGCTTTCGGTTACTTTGAGGAAATACAGGCATCACATCCGGAAAAGAAAGAAGGATATTTTTCCGAACTTTTAGTACAAGACTTATGATTAACAGGTACAAAACCTTGAAAACCCAAAATATTGTCAATAATTTTATTAAAAATGCTAATTTTTGATTTCTGTTCAGGGGGCTAAAATCAACTTCCGGTAATGGTATGAAAATCATTCAATCGTTAAATAACTTGGAATGTTGACAAAGTAAAAGACGTTCTAAACAGTTTTTTAATGTACATAATGTTATATCCCGTACAAAATTTTCACCCCTTTGTCAAAAATTATTTATGTTATCTATATTCTGATAAAATATTCAATTAAAATATGTGTTGCTGAAATTCCAAAAAATTATTCTGAGAAAAACAATGACACGTCAAATGAATTATAAAATTACTATACTTTATAGAGTGAGTTAATGCATTACCTAAATAAATGCATTTTGAAAGAGAAAAGCAACATCTGCAATTCAAAATGAGCATAAAAAATTATAAGAAAAAAAAATTCTAAGATTTCTGTAAATTATCTGTATAATGACATTGAATTCGCACCTGTATTTCCCTCCAACACTGCCAACAAATTAGCGCAGTCCTTTATCTTCTTCATATGAGAAGCTGGATCCACCCACATCCTGAACAATGGTCCATCAAGCCACTGCATGGAGAACTCCAAAAGTGTGTCTAAAAAATCCAACCAGCTATCCTCCCATGTTATTTCTGTCTTTTGCATAAAAACTCTAGAATACAAGAAAGAATCCTTGTAGGGCATCTTCACTAGCTATTTTGACAAAATGAGAAGAACTATAATATCAATCAGATATGTGAATGTTGTTCTGGAGCAGGTATACCTGTCTTCATCACCTCCCTTTAGATTTTCATTGACATCGAGATCATAGCCAGGAATTTTGGGTAAAATGACCTTTTCTTCTGGTTCATATATCCTGTACTTCCCAGAAAGCAGTACAGTTTCTCCTGGAAACACAAAATGTAGTCAATATTTTTGGTATCAAAATTACGAAGGTTATCACATTCAAAAATGTTTCTAAGTAAATGACATCTGAAAAACTAGCTAAAAGGCCACGAAGTAAACAAACTAAATAAATTGTAAAGTTATTCAATGTCAAACAAGTTGCTGATTTTGGACCTTCCCTTGGAATCAAAATGTCACCTTTCTCTACGACAAATGATTTGCCGCCAGTCTGTACATGTATAGAGTCAGTGCTGTCAATGTCCTCATGGTCAATCTCCTCCACTGTCCACACCATGTCCAGCAACTCCATACCACTGGTCAGCTCATGTGTCTGAGGAGGACAATTAACAGATCCTTGTTGGTTATATATGACTTCTCAAATCGTCAAAATACATTTAAAATGTCTGTATCACTTAAACATAATTTATCTTAATATTTCTATGTAAATTAAATGTAACTTATGTGAAATGAACTAAAAAATGTGAATAATAACAACGAGAATGAACAACTTAAGGAAGAGAAAGGGATATGAAGGGTGGTGCTCAGAGAAGAATTATCTTTATTTGTAACAAAGTCTTTTTCAGTATGGGGTAAGATGCTACTTTATCACAATGATGGAGAGGTACAACTTATGGTGACAATTGGATAAAAAGAGATGAGAGGCCATCCCATAAACTTAAAAGAAGCAAGGGATTGCTTGAAAACTAAGATTCAAGAACACAGATGTTTTAAACAAAAATATTAAAGGCAGTGCTTTTTTGCCTGGCAAAATCTAGAGAATTGTATTTTAATGAAATCTGTTTAAACATAAACACTGAGTTGAATCTAATATTTCCTGATCAAAGAATACAACCTTGATTGTAACTAGGTATCCATACCTTGTTGTGTTTTTCATTGATAGCAATCAAGGCATGGTACAACAGCACCCCCTGTTTGGAGTGGATTCCTTCCGTCTCCAGATCACTAATGGTATACGGCACCTCCACATCATCCTTCACTACAAAAACAAATAAACCAAATACTCCCTTTTTGACAAAAGAAAACGGGATAGAGACCCTTAATGCATTAAATATACATTATGTACACATTTCCCAAATTGTACAAATCAAATTGACATTTAAGGTTTACAGATTCTACCTAATATACAAGATCAAGTAAGCTTTAAAAAATTGAGCACAGTCAACATTTTTTGTTCAGAATAGCTTATTAATGCAACATCACATAAGATATTCATTAACAAGAGGCCCAGGGGCCACATCGCTCACCTGAGCAATTGGCTAGGAAAAAGCACATATTAGATCAGAACTGAAAGTTTACTGGGGGGGGGGGGGGGGGGGGGGGGGGGGGATGATTCTTGAATTTTAACCCCAGGGGATCATGATTTGAACAAACTAGAATCTACACTACCTGAGGATGATTCCCTATAGATACCACTAAGCATGACTTTGAAGTACTTGAAAAAAGATTTTAAAGGGTTTCCCTATATATTCCTATGTAAAACTTTTATTGGCCATTTGGCCCCATTAAATACCCCTTTCGGGGATCATTTGATTTGAACAAAGTTTGTATATAAAATTCACTACCTGGGGATGATTTTGCCACATGAGTTTTATCTTTCCTATATGTCTCAATGGTTATACTATAACGAGAATAGAAGATTTTTCCTATATATTCCTATATTACGTAAAACTTCGATCGGCCATTTTGGCCACATCCTAGCCCCGGGGGTCATGATTTGAACAAACTTGAATGTACACTACCTGAGGACGATTCCACATGAGTTTCATCTTTCCTGGACCAGTGGTTCTTGAGAAGAAGATTTTTAAAGATTTCTCCTTCATATTCCTATGTAAAACTTTGATCGGCCATTTTGGCCGCACCCTAGCCCCGGAGGCCATGATTTGAACAAATTTGAATGTACATTACCTGGGGTTGATTCCACATGAGTATCATCTTTCCTGGACCAGTGGTTCTTGAGAAGAAGATTTTTTAAAAATGCCATTTATTTTTCTCTAATTCATAATTACCTCCCCTTGGAAAAGGGTGTGGCCCTTCATTTGAACAAACTTGAACCCCCATCACCCAAGGATAGCAAGTTTGGTTGAAATTGGCCCACTGGTTCTTGAGAAGAACATGAAAATGTGAAAAGTTTACAACGACGACAACGCCAACAACAACAACGACAGACAACGGACAAATTTTGTTCAGAAAAGCTCTTTTGAGCCTTTGGCTCAGGTGAACTAAAAATCATTGAAAAAAAATGTGTCAAAACTTTACCCCTGCAATAGAATTCTGGCCATTCCGGTATCAGCCATGATTCACTGTGGTTCCACTTTACCAACGGACTTAAGGAAGGAGCAGAGACATCCAGGGGGAAGGACACATCATATAAACACTGTGTTGATATATCATGACCTGAAACATCATATAAACACTGTGTTGATATATCATGACCTGAAACATCATATAAACACCGAGCTGATATATCATGACCTGAAACATCATATAAACACTGAGCTGATATATCATGACCAGAAACATCATATAAACACTGTGTTGATATATCATGACCTGAAACATCATACAAACACCGAGCTGATATACCATGACCTGGAACATCATATAAACACTGAGCTGATATGTCAAGACAACTGAGCTGATATATCATGACCTGAAACATCATATAAACACTGAGCTGATATATCATGACCTGAAACATCATATAAACACTGAGCTGATATGTCAAGACCTGAAACATCATACAAACACTGAGCTGATATATTATGACCTGAAACATCATAAAAACACTGAGCTGATATATCATGACCTGAAACATCATAAAAACACTGTGTTGATATATCGTGACCTGAACCATCATATAAACACTAAGCTGATATATCATGAACTGGTTGAATCAAAGAAACCTAATACAAACACTGTGTTAATATATTATCACCTCAAAAACAATCAAAGAAACATATAAACCCTGGGCTGATATATCATTACCTAAAAAGTTGAATCAAAGAATTATGCAAACACTGGGCTAATATATCATGATCTGAAAGGTTGAATCAAAGATTAAACACTGAGTTTATATATGAGTTGAATCAAACATAACATAAACACTGTGATAATATATCATAACTTGAAACATTATATAAACACTGTTCTGATGCATTAGGGCCTGAAATTCAAATTAACATTAAGATTATATAATGACCTAAAAGGCAAAATCATGGAAACATCATATAAACATAAGTGTGAAATATTACAGTCTGAAACATCATATAAATGCTGTGATGATATCATCATGATGTGAAACATCATATAAACATAATGCTGATATATCATTACCTGAAATATCATACAATCATTTTGCCGAGATATTTTATACTTGAAAGATTGAAACAAACGAAACATCAATCACAGGTGCTGATACCATGACCTGCAATACCTTACAAACAATGTACAGTGTCTCATATGAGTGAAAATTCTCACAGGAACATCAATGACATACTGTTTACCAATTCATAAGCTCTAATATATAATTATATCGGGCCAAATATCATAAACTGACAACAAACTTCAATCAAAATTTATATTTTGAATTTAAACCTTGATTGTTATACAAATAGAACATGCTTGAAAAGTTGCAGTTTTTAAAATACTTAAATACCAACACTCTATGAAATTTTGATTTTATTTTCTTGACCATTTCCAAATTTATACAAAATTGAAAGTTTGATTTAATTTTGTCTTAGTTTTTGGTTTTGGGGCCAGGCGAGCTATAACGTCCATACATCTTTAACTTGCCTAATAAGTGTATCTCTCCCAGCATCCTCAGGACAGATTTCAGATCCCCAGCACACACAATAGGGTCAAAGACAAAATGTTTCTCCAGTCTTTTGGGATCAGTGAGCCTGGAAAGGTTGATGTCCACTAAACTCGTGTCAGCTGGCAGAGTGGCCATCAAACTTGTGACTGTGGCTGGGGTGAGCAGAACTCTTCTCAGATAATCCCAGTCCAACAAACTCTTAACTCTGGACTGGCAACCATAGGCATAGTCCTGGGACAGGCTCAGCATATTCTTTGATCTACAAGCAGAAGTCTCCCTTATCCAGTACTCAAAGAGTAACTGAACCTTAGAAAGAAACAAGAAATCTGTGAGCCAATGCTCACTAGTAATACCCCCGCTCTGATGTGAATATACAATATCATGTTAATAAACGTTACGGGTATATGCACAGATAAATAGGACTTTGACATCAGATTCAAATAAAAATAAATCCCATCATACTGCATGCCTCAACAAAGTACAGTCAAACCTGTATTAAGAGACCTTCCAACCGAGAAAGGAAAAAAGGTCACATATGACAGGTGGTCTCTTAATACAGGTCGCTTATTTTTTGCAGTGTTCAAATATACAATGCTGAATATACTGTGTATGTTGAATGTATTTCATAACACCTCCTGTTTAATTTCACATTTTAATAGGTACTGCTCAAATCTAAAATGCTTTTAGAAGTGTCCTGTTAATTAAACAATAAAAAAAATGCTTGATCCGCACATGAGTCATTTCATTATTAGGAAATATTGTGAACATCTGAAAATAAATTCATATTTTTTTAATACAGTATAAAAAAGATGCAAAGTTTTTTTTCTAATAATTTTTTTTTCATGATAGCCTATATAACTTCGTATGTTTAGCATATTACTAACGTCTAAGAATTAAAACTGTATCATGATTTTTGTTAAGCACTTGGTATCAAATTAAATTACATTTATGACTAAAATATTTATTTAACCTAATTATTTTTTTTAATACTGAACTACCGTGTTGGTGCTAGCTAGCGTGTGTTTACATACTAATTGGTGACACAATGCACTTAAATAAACATCTAGGATTTAGTTACTTGTTAATTAAAGATAAACAGGCAGGTTTTATAGCTGAATATCTATTTGGCCCAAATAGTATGAAATGATATCGGGATCGATCTCGAACGTCTATTTTCAAAATGGCGCTCGATCACTGGACAGAAAAAACGTGATGTTTATGTTTTAGATTTTAATGTTTATTCAGTAAATATCAAAGCGTAAGTAAAAATATTTATTTTTAAATGTTGTTTTATTCGTAATAAAGTGCCGCGCCACAGCATGATACGCCCGTCAAAAAATTAAAATTTTCTTGAACAGTTTAGGTGCAAGAAAATCACATCAACCTTGATTCTAAGATTTCGATGATTTGTCATTTATCCATCCCCTGTGATGTACGCATCAATTATAATAAATATTACATCACTGATAGATTTCTGTGCTGGTTGTGTAAGACCTTGTCAAATGCCCATCATCAAATTAGTCTTAACAACTTAATCTATACCAAATTAATTTTGAAAGAAAAGGCTGGCCATCAAATGACATATGTTATAAACTGACCAGCAGTTCTTCTGTCTAATCCCCAAAGGGCTGCTTAATCAGAGCGACTGAGACAGCTAGCCTTCCTACATTGAACTCATTAATTAATCTTTAACTGGATGCTTGTCTACTCATTACTACCAAGAGATGAATGGGTCTGCACTATAATATGTTTTTAAAAACATATAAAATACTCTCAGATTTTTTTTTTTTTGGTTGAGATTTAATGTCCGACAGGTTTTAGTATGTAATTCATATCAGGCGCGTAGCTGCCTATACGCAAGTACGCAAGTGCGTACACATCATTTTCAAAAAAGAAAAAAGAAAAGAAAGAAAGAAAAGAATAAAAAAGAAAGAGAGATTTATTCGGAGAAAAAGAGGCACTATCTGTCTTTCAAATTATTTTACGTCTTATTGTTTCTATTCAAATTTTGTTCAGAATATCGTTAAAATCCAGTCTTTTATAAAAATGAATTCCAAAATTCTTGAGTAAGAAAATATTGTTGAACCAAAATTTTCAACTGTTAATCCACATAATCCTGATTATCCGGACAAATACATGTATTTAATGAAGGAAAGCGATCTAAGTGACATTGATCTAAAGAAAAAGTTACAAGGGTCTTGGACGACTATACAAGAATTTCTGTTGTAGTAATGAATAAATATCGATTAACAAAAAAAAAATGGCAAAATTCAAATTACTTAACAAAGTAAATAAAAATATAGATTATGTATGAATATCTTCTTTTACTGATGTTACCATTTTATAGAATTTAAGTACTCTCACATTGTTTAAGCTATCAGAATATAAAGGTTATCAAGAGACCCACACCCCCGTTTATATTTTGAAATAATTTAACTCCAATGATAACTTATTAAAGAACTATATGCGGTATATTGCATATATTTGCCCCCACAAAAGTCAAATTTTGAAAACTTCCTGAAATGTGCTGAATTCAATAAATTGTATGAGAAATATAAATTAACAGATTTTATTATAGTGTCAAAGCAGTGTATTCACAATTTTTGTTTTTATGACGTCACAAACTAGTCCGATTTTATATCCCTTTTTCAGAAAGAGGTCAAAATGGACAAAATTTCAACAATTTTAGCTTTAAAATTTATAGAGCGCAAGTATGTTCAGGAACAATATTGACATATTTCATTGATATTATCATTCTACACATTATATCAAAATATTGATCCTGAACACACATGCGCTCGGTGACTTTTACTCAAAATGTCGACGAAATATGTACATTTTTCTGTAAAATTCATAAAAAACTGAAATTTACGTCATGTTTGTGACGTCATTACGTACAGATGGCGTCACTAAGTATGAAAATATTCAGTGCTTTTAAGTCAGCATATACTCCCCTGTTTAAGAACTTCATTAAATATATCTCCATCAAAGTTGGATTTGGGGGGCAAATATTGGTTATTACCGAATAAAGTTCTTACTTCTATGTTTTATCTTGTCACACTTGGAAACTTTTTTCCCAATACCAATATATTCGTAAATTAATTTGATCAAATTATCCTTCTCTTCCTGAAGTTTCCATGGAAGTACATGTATAACCTAAGTAAGTGTTTGCTTGAGAAAAGAGATGTAGCGTAATTTCTTTTAAAGGAAAATGATTGAAAAATTTCGTAAAATCCGGGAGCTTCCGGGGGCTTCGCCCCATGGCCCCCCACCAGGGCTTCACCCTGGACCCACTGGGGGCCTCAGAGCGGCCCCAGACCCCCGACTTTTTTCTGCATACACTTCATTTCAATGCTGGCTACGCGCCTGCATATGGACATGCTGATTCAACCCCACCCCAAAAAATTAGTTTTTAAATTAATAATATAACATAATATCAGATTAGTCTATTATGCAATATCAAATTAGTTTTAATTACTTTTCATCAAATTCATTTCAAAACTTAAGCTAGTCAACAAGAGCTATTTTTAATCAAACAGCCAGGCTTACCCAATTTGCCCAATTCTCAAGGGATATAGATAACGCCAATGCTCTGTCAATAGCTCCTCGCACTCAAAACCCATTAATTTCTCTCTAATTTGACATGCAATTTTCTGTTATCAAAATTCTTCTTGACCAGTGCTTGATAATTACACTCATGGGAGACATGGGATTTCTCTAACATACATTATATTTGTTTTAGATTGCTGTCAAGTATATGCTTAAAAAAAATAAGTATTTTCTTGATTTAACACTTTTTTAATAAGAACAGTGCAATACTCTTACATTATTTGGGATGTGTAAATGAATAGTAAAAAGACACATTTTTTTTAAAAAATTTACTTAAATTAAAGGTCACAGTGACCTTGAAATAGGTCGCGACACACCTTCTACCTAAAATGCATAAACTGGCCAAGTTTGATGATTGTAGGTCTTATAGTTTTCTAGTTATGGGCCGGAAAGGATTTTTCCATATTTGGCTATAACTTCTTAATTAAAGGTCAGAGCGACCTACTTTTTGTGCGCGACACACCTTCTACCCAAGATGCATCAGATGACAAAGTTTGGTAATCCTAGGCCTTGTAGTATTAAAGTTATGAGCCGGAAACGAAAAAGCTAACAGACGGACAGACGGACGGACACGAAGCCTATAACATAATACGTCCCGTCTTAAGACGGGCGTATAAAAATTGCATTATATAATTATTAAATGAAATAAAAACATGTCTGAAGTTGTTTTGAACCAAAAACGTATCATGCTCGACCGAAATCGAAAATAGGAATCAGAAATTACGTAGTCGTTAAATTCAGGCAAAATTGCTTGAAATTACAAAAAATGGTCAGAAAAATCACGGTCGTTGGTCGCGTTAGACAGGTGGTCGTTTAATACAGGTAAAATATATAGGGAAAACCGTTGGGGAGAATTTTTATGGTCACATGTGACAGTGAGTTGCTTAATACAGTGGGTCGCTATGGCAGTTTTGACTGTATGTATTAAAATTTCAAGCATCTGCAATGAGTAGTTGCTGAGAAAACTGTGACAAAAATTTGTTATGGACTGACAGACGGAGAGCAGCTAGACAGACAGACACACAAAAGTAAAACAGTATACCCCCCTCTCTTTTGGAGTGGGGGTATAATTAGTTCAGTTTCTAGCAGTCATTATGTCTCCAAAAGATTTTAAGCCTATGGGGAGACAATTTTCATGTATTTCACCTGCATTTAGGGCTGTTTAAAATCTCCTGGGCTTGTTCCTCTATACCATCAACCAAACCTTCCATCCAATCACTGCACAGAGGAAGTCTGTCTTTTAGTTCTGAATAATAACCGCCTACAAGAAGAGACATCTAGAATGAATATGTAGGGGCATTGATGGACATATGCAAATAAAAAAAGCACAAGAGCTGTCATCACTTTTTGATTCAATACTGTTAAATCATTTTACTCAACATAACCTTTCAATAGATTGTTAGATACTGTGGTTACAGTTAAAGTATTTGAAAAACTTGCTTATAAAGAAGTGTCGGTCATAAGAAACTTTCTACCTATCCCATGGAAGACTTTTCATTATCATTTTCCATTGTAAAGAAGCAAATTTTGAGGTCCCAATAACTTTTTTATAACCAAGTTTCATTGTACATTTCTTAGTATTTTTATCCTAGATCTTACCTTTATCATGAATGGTTTTTAACACCCCGTCTTTATGTTTGTTGTCCACTGCTATGACAAACGTGTCTTGACCAATCACTGAGAGGACTCTGGTGAAGGGCCCAAGACAGTAGATATCCTCAGGATTCAAAGTGGTTTTATAAACAGAATATCTCCCCTGATGATCTTTAAAAGATTTTTTCAAAACTTAAATTCATTTTTACATTAAAAAGTGCACTGAAATAATCTTAAATTTCTAATATATGATAAGTATGCTTTGTAAATAAAGTCAACTGACTTGGCCGGCATTCTGACCTGTTTTTGAGCATGCCTCTATTTGCTGTCCTATCAAGTATGCTAATCGAACACACTGCTCTCTGTCAAGGCAGCCATCTTTGTATCCTGCTACAATTTCTGACAGACCACACCCCACTACTCCCTGAACGGGGACATTTCCTTCTGTAACGGTGTCTACTAAACCTAGTGATAAAACAAAAGACATATGAAATTAATAACAAAACATAGTTGGGACAAATTACCTCCATATCAATTGTCTGATTTTGAATGTACTGAAATTTATGAAGAGTTCCTATAAATTAAACAGACAATCGTGATAATACCTGTGCCTGATGTCTTATAATATTCATCAAAAATCATACTTGGTGATCATAAACATCCCATACACATTGCTTAACATGTTAAAATATGAATTCCTCTAATCAGAAATTAATTTCTAGATTATTAAAAAGCTATGTCAAGTATATACTGTCTTTTAAAAATCTTCAATAGCTTATGGCAATTTTTCTCTAACTATACTAAAATTTACCTATTAATGAAGAAATGGCAAGGACAATTCTCTCATTTATTTGACATGCAGCAGGTCCCTTAGTCAGCATTTGTGTCAGTTGAAATGTTTCATCTATTCTGGTCAGAATCTGTTCAATTTAAAGAAATTTACTTAATCTTTTTCATAATTTTATATCAATGAAAATAACTTTAGATTTGCTTGTATTGCTTTCTTAATTCTGGTTTTACCTCCTGAGAAGCTTGAATTGATCTCCTGAAAACAGGATTTTCTAGGAGAGATGGTGAAGGGGCCAACTTCTCAAACATAACATCTCTTAACAACAGCCATACAGATGGAATCAAGGAGATGTGTTTAGACACCTTATGGCTAATACCTACAATGTGGAAATAAATTAGATTACATCTAAAATGTGAATTCCTTCTTTTATGCCAATTCCTGTGATTTTACCATTATTTTGATGTTCTGCTATTATGTATCCTCTAATGGGTCTTTTGGGGTCATGTGACAGCCAGGAATTGGACAACAGAGCCAGTGAAGAGACACTCTTCCTATTCTTCCTGACAAAGTCCACAATAGACTCCATTTCTCTCTCATTTCTGGCATGGATGGTAACCAGACTATGTGTTACATCTGCCAAGTATGTACAAAATAGTTAAAGAAACAATAAAATTTCTTGTTTTCTATAATACTTCTAATTTTGATGATTTTGAATTGCTTGCCTTTGTAAGTCTGCTGTTTTCTGTAAGGCTTTAACACGGCATGCCCATTGGCACCTCCATATCCAAAGCAATTCAAACTTATGTATCCATCTAAAAAAATTGTTTCTTAGTGTAGTCTACTTGTGTGTCAATTAAGTTAAATTGAAATCAGACCGAAAATGTTGGAGGAGTAGCATTTTGAAAAAGTGTAAACAGACAGATGGACAAACAGATGACGGACACCTTACAATCGCATTAAGCTCTTCTGGTCTCTGACCAGTAAAGCTAAAAATATGTTTCAAAAGTTGCAAGTTGCATAAAATTCAAATATAATGAAAATTTTAATTTCTAAGAGTATTCTAAAAGTTATACTAATATGAAACTTTGACTTTTATTTTCACATTATGGTCTTGACCCAGAGCTATATATCCTAATTTTGCATTCTGAAATATTGTTTACTGATGAAGGACCTAAGCATGGCATATGTTCTTCTAAACTCTTATCAACAGAGACAGAAATGTGTAGTACAAATGTTTGGATGACAAACACCTTACCAGAGCATGGGGTCTAAGTCAAAATGTGACATGTATGTACTTATAATGGTTTTGGCCATGGATATTGACCTCGGTAGCTCAGTCTGTAGAGCACCTGACTAGTAAGGCAGTGATTCCAATTTGTATCCCTCAAACTTTGTTTGCATGAGGTATAAATTTTTATAGAAAAGTCCTTTATCAGAAGGTTCAATGATATTTTTAATGGAATAAAGCAATATGGCTGCTCCTTACCGGTTAAAGGCATTGCTTTGTCCACCACTTTGATCTTTCCTTGTGAAATTCCATCTATTTTAGGGTTTGGTGAATTAAAATTGATCTGTGGTGGAATAGTTCCATGTCTTGCTATCATGATGCATTTCACCAAACTCGCTAAACCTGCAAAGACAAGAACCCCAACTAGCTAATAAAAGATCAATTCTCAGGTACTCTTGTACTGATCATCAATAAGTGTTTATTTACCTGCAGTAGCCTCACTGTGCCCCATACTAGCCTTGACTGACCCAACCAACAAAGGTTTGTGTCTGCCCTCACAGAGGGCCTGGACTATACCACTTGCTTCCACTGGATCCCCAGCCTACAGTTTAATCAGTCACATATCAAAAATCATAAGAATTTACCAATAACTCATGACATGATTCATTTGTAATATGGAAAATCTAAAACATTAAGAGGAACATACATTGAACCCCAGTTACTGGTGTTTATTTGTTCCAATACCTTAGTACCAGTGCTGTGAGCCTCTACATATGCTACATTGTTAACATCAATGTCATTTCTGTTGTAAATTGTAGACATCAAGTTTGCTTGAGACTGACTATTTGGAAAGGTGATTCCTAAAAATAAAAGAGCAAGTGAAATCAATACCAAACTGTCCAAGAAATAAAGTATGAATACATGTTAAACTGACCAGGGTCAGGGCCAGTACATTCCACTGTCACTAAAAAAGCTATTATTTTTACAGGTACACGGGTATCCGTATCAAAATGAAACCCAAACAAGAAGTTTGTAAAACACTTATGCCTTCCTCCCCAAAGTAAATGGAATTTTTCCAAGTCCAGGGGACATAACTCTGTCAAACAAGAGGCCCATGGGCAACATCACTCACCTGAGTAGCATTGACCATGCTGATCTTTACCAGATTTCCGCCTTGTAATGTCTATTTTGACCCCACCCTATCCCAAGGGTAATAATTTTGACAATTTAAAATCTACACTACCCTGGGATGCTTTCACATAAGTTTCAGCTTTTCTGGCCCAGTAGTTCCTGAGAAGAAGATCTTTAAAGATTTTCCTATATAATTTGGTAAAAACTTGGATTCCAATTTAAGGCCCCAAGTAGTTCTTGAGAAGAAGATTTTAAAAAAAAATTTCTATATATTTTAATGTGAAACTTGGGTTCCCTATTGTGGACCCGCCCAACCCCTGGGGGTCATGATTTGGACAATTTAGAATCTACACTATTCTAGGATGCTTACACATAAGTTTAAGCTTTTCTGGCCCAGAGGTTCTCGAGAAGATTTTTCATATATATTTCTATGTAAAACTTTGATTCCCTATTGTGGCCCTGCCCAAACCCAGTCGGTCATGATTTGTACAATTTAGAATCTACACTAGCCCAGGATGCTTCCACATAAGTTTCAGCTTTCCTGGCCCAATGATTTTTGAGAAGATTTTTTAATGACCCCACTCTATTTTGTATTTTCTTGATTATCTCCCTTGTGAGGGGACTTAACCCTTCATTTTAACAATTTAAACTCCCCTTCAACCAAGGATGCTTTGTACCAAGTTTGGTTAAAATTGGCCCAGTGGTTCTTGTGAAGAAGTCGAAAATGTGAAAAGTTTACAGAGGGACTGACAGACCGACGGCCGGCCGACAAATTGTGATCAGAAAAGCTCACTAGAGCTTTGGCTCAGGTGAGCTAAAAAGGCTCGATCATACCCAAATATGTGCAATCTCAGTGAAGAAAATGAATGGAAGCTGCAAATCATTAAAATTTTTCTAAGTCCAAGGGGCATAACTTTGTCAAATAAGGCTGGATCATACCCAAATCAAAACTTGACCTAGATATTCTTAAGATAAATCTGTATACCAAATTTTGTCTCAATATGTGCAACCTCTGCAAAGAAAATCGGCTACTTTGTATATAATGACATACTTAATGGATTCCAACACAAGTATTCATTTATATATTGATCTTTTGATTTACATGTACATGATTTACATGAATCCATGCCTACCATTTCATTACACACTACCTTCTGATTTGAAGCCATCACAGTTGGTGAGAATGTCAATCATACTCAGATACACACGTTTGCAAATGGTAACATTCCTGTCAAACAGAAACAACTAAAAGTAAAACTTTTATTTTTTTTAACTTTGAAAGCAACTCCCTACTTAACAACTTTTAACAAGGCCACATTATTATTACCTAGGGTAACTCTTAAATCTTATGGTTGAAATGATTTACTTCTACTGAATGATTTAATTAATCTAGTTATGATCTGCTTCAAACTCCTGCATTTTCAAGTTATTCTGGACCTGTTCAAATTTAAAGTAGAGGACTGATATTGACTGCTTTTAACAAGGTTTTAAACAAGATGCCCATGGGCTATGACAATCACCTGAATATTATGAGCCTCTCATGCTGACCAACTCAGTGCCATCTTGGGGTGGAACTCTAGAAGAATTTGACATGATTTCAGAATTGGTAGAGGATTTTTGTGTTATTGCCTTGCATGAAGATAACTTAAAACATATTTTATTGAATAATCCAATAAGGACTGGGCAACGGGCAAAGCCTATACACACACTCTCCTTAGGCATGAAGATAAGTCTTGTAGATGCACCCAATAAAAGACTGTTAAAGAAATCCTCTATCAATTTCAAGTTTCAAGCCCAGAAGCAGCCGAGTTGGTCATAGCATGAAAAACTGATGAAACTCGTGTTAATGCATAATGTTACCTATATGGTGTAACACACCTTGTGAGTAAAACTGCCACCACCCCCTCGGCCCTGACATATCCCCCAGCCTTGGCATCAAACACATTGCTGTGGCCAGAGGGGTTGAGCATGCCCAGCTGCACCATTTGTTGAAAATAACTTGGATTAAGCAAAAGGTTGACACCTGAAAAATTAATCTTTTCTAAAAAGGAAATTCGAAAAAAAAAGACTCTACTAATGATCTTCCCTTCTGCACCCTTAATATAGAGCCTATGGAAATATATTGTTAAGTTTCGTTTTTCTAATGCACCAAGTTTCACGAATAATATCAAAAATCACTCACTCACAGATTATACAGCAAAGAATTGTTCTCTTAAATATTTTTTCCAAAACAATACTCACTAAATATACAATGTACAGCATTTTAAAATATTTTGAGTTTTTGTGCTTTATACTGCAAACCAACTTTTATTTGCGTGCGAGAAATTTTCGCGAAGTTCGCGAAAGCCTTGTCATCGCGAATATTTCTCATCGCGAACCGATCCTTAAAGTGTATGTGACTATTAACAACAGATCCAAAACGATTTGATCACGAAAATTAATCGTCGTGATCTAGTTTATCCCTGGTTAATCGGGAAATAAATTTGCCGCGAATAAAAGTTGGTTTACAGTATTTGCAGTGATCATTTTCCTGGAAATGTGAATAAAAAAAATCTAAACATGTTTAATAAGCAAAACCAGAAGTCTTGATCTGATAAGAGTGTATGCTTGAAGAATAATTTAGAACAAAAAAATGAATTTTGTAATTGGAACCTCATAATATCCCCTCTATACAGTGGAGGCCACTGACTAGATAAAATGATCCTTACCTGCAACCATAGCAAACTGACATTTTCCAGCATTTAGATCACTGACAGCCATTTCCAGAGCAGACAAACTGGAGCTACATCCTGTGTCCACCGTCATCATAGGACCGTTGAAGCTAAAGTATTCCATCAGATGACCAGCCATCATAGGTACTGTTGTGCCTGCAATTACAATTTAATATAAAACACTTGAATACAGCAAGAACTGCTAATTAAACCCATTCAAAACCAGACATATCTGGTGGTACCAGTTATTTAGTCTAGGAGTAAATTAAGTTACGCTTAATATTTTGTTGTGACCTTTACATTTTTCTCTGAAGGGTAAAAACTTTTTTTTAATAAGACAGAAAGTAACTAAATTCTAGCAGGACTTTTTCACGAAATACTTTGCAGAGCTTTAAATTGTCTGTTACATAATAATGTTGCTCTTTTTAGATCTTCTCTTCAATCTGGCTAACAAGAGTGTTCTCATAGAGAGGCAAGAGGAATCAGTTAATAAAAACATGATAAATATCCATTAAAAAGCTCAAAACATCTTGGGGGAAAGAAAAGGCAAGCGCTGCTTGAATCGGGTTCACATGAGCTTTTGGCTCAGGTAAGCTAAAAATCATTTAAGAATGAATAAAACATCAATTATTTACTTTTTTATAGCTTACATAGCTTTGAGATGGTTTCTCTTGATGTTTCAAGAGCATCACTGTCAGGTAGAAAGCAGGCTAGATAAAGTCCTGTGGTGTTATTCTGTAGCGCGGGCAAACTGAGGCCTGAGTCCACAACACACTCACAGCAAACCTCATATAAGTGTCGCAACATGGGATTCATGTGATGAACCTATAAATGGAGTATAGGTTAAACCATCAGCTGAGAACGAAGAGGCCTATGGGCCAAAATACTCACCTGAAGCACATTTCCTTAGAAACAGAAAATTTTATATTGGTTTTCCCAAAATGCCAAAGATTGCCAATTCATGCTTCCACATCGTCACGGGTGACGCAGTTGCTATCTCCGCACAGCCAATCAGAATCGCGGAAAAATTGTCAACCATTAACTCCGACAAAACGCAGCTGTCGGATGCTACGAGAGGACATCGTTAAACGTCTTATCCGCTCTATAGCAGAAAATTGTGAAGTCCCATGAATAGGTTAGATGTAATAATAATACGAGGTACCTGGAAAGAATACGCAAGGTGAGATTTATTCATTTTCTAAGTCCAAAACACGCATAAACAGCTGATCAAGTCATGTCATGTGTAAGACTGAAAACGACTGCCCTTTACAAAAATAAGTCTTTCAAATATATTTATGTCAGGGTAGTGATAATGTAAGTGGAAACTAGAAAACTGACCAGTCAGCAAGGGCCCCGCCATGGGGTGGAATTATAAGGATGCAGCTTATGGAATGATTAAAAAATATATGAAGAAATAAGCAACAGCAAATGTATTCTTAAAATTTTCAACATAATTCCTGAATATCCAAAAACCTGTAAATAATATCCTTGTATATTTACATTAGGCACTGGCAGTAAAGAACAACCTAACATTGAATGTATATATAAACAATAATGAAGTTTGTATTTGTGTTATATAAAATGCCAATCTTCAATGAATGCAAATACATGTATCATGAAGGCTTGACCTTAACTTCAAAACAAACAGCAGTTGCAGACAAAGTTTTTCATTAATCTTAAAATGACAGATAAAGATAGGCCTACTAAATTTTCTTCAGCAGGCTAGATAATTAATCCTGAGGGATTAATTGTACCTCTCTCATCATTTTCTTCTAAAGTTACAATAAGAACTTTTTCAGTATTAATATTAGAATGGCTTAATCCAACTACCTTAATAATTATTATTATTCTTGAATTTACATAAAGGGAAAAAAGTAAAAATAAAAGATATGTCTTCTTTAATCTATTTCTTGTTTATAGAATTCAATGAAATCATAACTCATTGTGTAGGTATTTTAACCAAAATAAAGTATAAACATTTATATCTAAATCCACATTTCAGAGTGTTCATAGCATTCCAAATTGACTGAACTTCAAAACAAACTTCATTTGCAGACAGAGGTGGTAATTAATCTCAATGTGACAGATAAAGATAATGCTTTGGATTTTCTTCAGGAGGAAAGCTAATTAATCCCAAGGGACTCATAGCAGCATTCAGTTTACAATGGAAACATCTTCAGCAGTTATCTCTCTTTGCTAAAGCATTCTTATATAAAGTTAAGGAATATACCCCACCACCCCAGCTCCAAACCAAGGGTCATAGAGAAACAAACTTAGCATCAAAATATGTCTTTCTGCCTATTGAACTACCATACCAAATTTGATCTTAATTGGGCAACCATAAAAAAAGTTATTAGGAAAAAACAGGAAATTTGTGGACAGAAGAAAGACAGACGGACAGACGGACAGACAGAGTGATTACTATAGGGCACCCGCAAATCCTTGCGGGGCCCTAATTAAAGCGAGCAATAATTGAATTAAGTAATACATGTATCACGTACAATATGGTGATTTACTTTGAACTTAGGCAGTTATATATGTACTCGGACTATACACAGACCTAAGGTGGACTGTTCAGAGCTGATCTCTGTGAAATGAATATAGATTCTCGAAAGAGAATGCTGCAAAAATATATTCTGGCTAATTTTCATGTTTTATTTTTAAATTTTTTTGTGATTGTATATATAAGTGCAGTGTATAGCTTTTTGAATCTTAATTGTAGCATTTGTGGGTCATGACATACTGACTGTATACAGCAGTTAGATAGGCAACAGTCATCAAGAAAGGCAGGCTACTTAAGTATTATCAAGGTGAGTTGTTAGTTTACTGATATTATTATATTATGTTAAGAAAACTATTTGTTATGAAACAAGAAGCCCATGGGCCACATTGCTCACCTGAGAAGCGTTGACCATTCTGTTCTTTACCAGATTTCCCCCTTGTTATACATAATGCATCCCCACCCTACCCCACTGATCATAATTTAGACATTTTGAAATCTACACTACCCCATGATCCTTCCATGGGCACATATGTTTCAGCTTTTTTGGCCCAGTGGTTCCTGAGAAGAAGATTTTCAAAGATTTTTCCTATATATTTCTATGTAAAACTTTGATTCCCCATTGTGGCCCCGCCCTTCCCCCGGGGGTCATGATTTGAACAATTTAGAATCTACATTATACCAGGATGCTTCCACATAAGTTTCAGCTTTTCTGGCCCAGTGGTTCTTGAGAAGAAGATTTTCAAAGATTTTTCCTATATATTTCTATGTAAAACTTTGATTCCCCATTGTGGCCTCGCCCTTCCCCCGGGGGTCATGATGTGAACAATTTAGAATCTACACTATACCAGGATGCTTCCACATAAGTTTCAGCTTTTCTGGCCCAGTGGTTCTTGAGAAGAAGATTTTCAAAGATTTTTCCTATATATTTCTATATAAAACTTTGATTCCCCATTGTGGCCCCGCCCTTCCCCCGGGGGTCATGATTTGAACAATTTAGAATCTACACTATACCAGGATGCTTCCACATAAGTGTCAGCTTTTCTGGCCCAGTGGTTCTTGAGAAGAAGATTTTCAAAGATTTTTCCTACATATTTCTATATAAAATTTTGATTCCCCATTGTGGCCCCGCCCTTCCCCCGGGGGTCATGATTTGAACAATTTAGAATCTACATTATACCAGGATGCTTCAACATAAGTTTCAGCTTTTCTGGCCCAGTGGTTCTTGAGAAGAAGATTTTCAAAGATTTTTCCTATATATTTCTATGTAAAACTTTGATTCCCCATTGTGGCCTCGCCCTTCCCCCGGGGGTCATGATGTGAACAATTTAGAATCTACACTATACCAGGATGCTTCCACATAAGTTTCAGCTTTTCTGGCCCAGTGGTTCTTGAGAAGAAGATTTTCAAAGATTTTTCCTATATATTTCTATATAAAACTTTGATTCCCCATTGTGGCCCCGCCCTTCCCGCAGGGGTCATGATTTGAACAATTTAGAATCTACTCTATACCAGGATGCTTCCACATAAGTTTCAGCTTTTCTGGCCCAGTGGTTCTTGAGAAGAAGATTTTCAAAGATTTTTCCTATATATTTCTATATAAAACTTTGATTCCCCATTGTGGCCCCGCCCTTCCCCCGGGGGTCATGATTTGAACAATTTAGAATCTACACTATACCAGGATGCTTCCACATAAGTTTCAGCTTTTCTGGCCCAGTGGTTCTTGAGAAGAAGATTTTCAAAGATTTTTCCTATATATTTCTATATAAAACTTTGATTCCCCATTGTGGCCCCGCCCTTCCCCCGGGGGTCATGATTTGAACAATTTAGAATCTACACTACCCCAAGATGCTTCCACATAAGATTCAGCTTTACTGGCCCAGTGGTTCTTGAGAAGAAGATTTTTTAATGACCAAACCCTATTTTTGCCTTTTCTTGATTATCTCCCCTTGCGAGGGGATATGTCCCTTCATTTTAACAATTTAAATTCCCCTTCAACCAAGGATGCTTTGTACCAAGTTTGGTCAAAATTGGCCCAGTGGTTCTTGAGAAGAAGTCGAAAATGTGAAAAGTTTACAGACGGACAGACAGCTGGACAGACAGACGGACAGACAGACAGACGGACAGACGGACAGACGGACGGACAGACAGACGGACGGACGACGGACAAAATGTGATCAGAAAAGCTCACTTGAGCCTTCGGCTCAGGTGAGCTAAAAAAACTTAATTATAAAGCCAGCATATTATTAAAGTGAAGATAGCACTATACATGTAGGGTGAGTTCACCATGCATCGGACACATACCTTGCTTCGGACAACTTTAGGCAATAAACTCTCTTTCAACTTAAGAGATATGTGTATTTATTTGTTTCTGTCATAAAGACGAAGATTTAAATTTTTTCATGATACCGATTGTGTTTATCATGTTGTGATAAAAATACCCCGCAAATGGCCTTGAAGTTACGTCATATTTTACATCATCAAAGGGGAATAACCCGAAATTTATGATTTTGCAATTTTTAGAGTTATCGTTCTTTTAAATTCGACTTACACGGAACGAGTCGGACTTTGGTGAATTTTGTCAGGGATTGGTAATTTTACATAAATTATAATTAAATTTCACTTCAATGTTTGTTTAATTCTTATTAGAGCTGGTTTTTACTAGTATGCTATTTTCACCGTACATCGGACACAAATTAACCATGCATCGGACACTTTTCGATGCAAAGGTAAGCACTACCATTTTCATACAGAACCCAGCTGACAGCTGTTTTTTGCGGAAAAAGAAAATAAAAACTCTATATTTTCAGTCAAAATACAAGTTATCGATATATGAAGTATGGAATTTTACTCAATTTATTTCTGCAAACCAGAATATATGATAAGTCATGAGAAAAAGGCGCGAATTACGGCATTATAAGCATTTTAAAGCATTTCTAAGGCAGAGTGAGGTATCGAGAATCGTTCTACATTTGTGCAATAATATTGTCGATTAAATTAAAGTTGAGGGTTATTTCTTAGATAAAAGATGAAAATATATCCATATCAAGGATTTTAAAGCACTGTGATAAAGGTATGATATTTTTCCGGTCTCCATACCGTCTGTCCGATGCATGGTGAACAATGTCCGATCCATGGTGAATTTTCAGTTTTTTCTAAAAACTCGATTTTCGGGGATATTTTCTCAATAAACGGAATATAATTGTGTCCTAAATTGTTATTTTAATCACAAACTAAATTTTAAACTCCATTTTGATAATTTTCCTTCGGTAGCGATATCGCTAGAACTTGTTGAAGTACAAGGGTATCCGATGCATGGTGAATT